GAACGGAAAGTCGCAGAGCGATTAGTTTCGTCTACTCATGACCCGCAATGCTTCACATCAAATGTGAAAGAGATCAGTTAAAAGTTATAGCCTCTATCACGTTCCTCGGGTTTTCGGAAAAGGGGTAGTAGGCCTACTCTGGAACCAAAAGCCGCGAAAAGCTGAATATCGACAGGACTCGTTCGCCCGTGACCAGAAGGTTTCTCACCAAAGAATCTGCAGTCTATACCGCGTTCAACAGTGACGACATAATATGTCCACATTGAAATGTAGGCGTATAAAAAAGATTTAAACGTTAATAGTTTTAACTTAGATGTAGCATTAACCATGTCCTCGATATCAACTGGTGATATTTAGGATGGAGTATAGGCAGCTACAGTCAAGTCGCTTATAAATCTGGAATGAAACCCTTTACCGTAAGCTGTGGTATGTCGCTAAATCCGAATTCTTCGTCTTTGATGTAGAAACCTTTCGTTTGTGTTTTGTTGACCATTTGTATTAGTGAATAAACCGGTTAAAGATACATTATAGAAGATTATAGATAATAGATAAAAACAGATGGATTATGCTGAAAATTTCAGTCAAATTGCTTCACTCTAGCCGGGATTACCGTTGTCACGATAATTAACAAAGTCTCGATTATCCAATTTTGCGTTTAATCACCAACGGACGTTGAACAGCAGATCGGATTCAATCCCAAAAAATCGGACACATTTAAGATGGCATCGAGAGTTGATTATGGTCTTTTTATACGCCCACATTTTCATGTGGAACGTATATTGTCGTCGCCCCTGTCCGGACGTCCGTCCATCCGTCCGTCCACATTTGTTTGTGAACACTCTAGAGGTCACAATTTTTATCCGATTTCAATGAAACTTGAAATATTGGTTTATCACCATACGATCTCGGTTCCTTTCGATATTGGCATGTATCGGACTGTAACTTCATGGATTATGGCCCTTGATTGCACGAAAAATCACGTTTTTAGCTTGTGGACACCGTAGAGGTCACAATTTTTATCCGATTTGGTTTAAACTTAAAATATATGTTTATAACCCACAGATCTCGGTGCCGTTCGATATTCGCACATATCGGACCACAACTTCCTGAATTATGGCCCCTGATTGTACAAAAAATTGCGTTTTTAGCTTGTGGACCCCATAGAGGTCACAATTTTTATCCAATTTAAAAAACCGTTTGAATATATCACCATTACACCCTAAGTATGGTTAAGTTCGAATTTCGTAAAAATCAAACCGAAACTGACGGACAAAATGGCCGCTTCTCGTTTGCAAATAGTGTCACAATATTGTGTATCAGTTTTGTGGACCCTCTGGAGGTCACAATTTTCATCTGATTTTGATGAAACTTGAAATGCATGTTTATAACCCACAGATCTCGGTTCCTTTCGATATTCGCGCATATCGGACCATAACTTCCTAAATTATGGCCCCAGATTGTACGAAAAATCGCGTTTTTAGCTTGTGGACCCTATAGAGTTCACAATTTTTATCCGATTTAAAAAACCGTTTGAATATATATCCGTTACACCCTAAGGATAGTTGAGTTCGAATTTCGTAAAAATCGGACCGAAACTGAGAGACAAAATGGCCGCCCCTCGTTTGCAAATAGTGTCAAAATATTATGTATCAGGGTTGTCTGATTTTGATGAAACTTACAATGCATGTTTATAATCGTAACTTCCTGAATTATGGCCCCTGATTGTACGAAAAATCGCGTTTTTAGCTTGTGGTCCCTCTAGAGGTCACAATTATTATCTGATTTAAAAAAAAACCGTTTGAATGTATCACCGTTACACCGTAATTTTGTCTGAAATTGAATTTCATGAAAATCGGGCCAAAACTGCCGGACAAAATGGACGCCCCTCGTACCCAAATAGTGTAAACATCTGGTAAATCAAGGTTGTGGACCCTCAAGAGGTCATAATTTTGATCCGATTTCGACGAAACTTGAAATACATGTTTATAACCCAAAGATATTGGTACCTTTCGATTTAGCTTGTGGTCTAAGTAGAGGTCGCAATTTTTATCCGATTTAAAAAAAACGTGTGAATATGTCACCATTACACACTAAGATCTTAACTTCCTGGATTATGGCCCCTGATTGTTCGAAAAATCGCAATTTTAGCTTGCGGATTCTCTAGAGTTCACAATTTTTTTCCAATTTAAAAAAAAACAACGTATAAATACATCACCATTCCACCATAATGAAGGTTGAATTCGAATTTCGGAAAAAATCGAAATGAAACTGCCCGACAAAATGGCCGCTCTTTGTACGCAAATTGTGTAGAAGTGTGTAATACGAAGGTTGTGGACCCTCTAGAGGTCACAATTTTTATCCGATTTGATGAAACTTAAAACATATCTTTATATCCCAAAGATCTCAGTCCCTTTTGATATTTGCACATTTCAGGCTATAACTTTCTGCGTTTGTTTTTAGCTTGGTCTCTATCCATCTCTTGGAAAATGTGGACGTATCCTGCCTGGCAGCCGCTGGTTATGTTAATAAATGTCTAATTAATAGTTTATATAACATTTCAGGTCAAAGACTTGCAATAGGCAAATTTATCTCTTACATAATGCATGTTTAATTATGTTTGAAAATTTCTTTGAATCTTTTATATACGACGTATGAAACAATCTGAAGCTATGTGATACTTTTTGGAAGATTCTACGTGAGATTGGCCCAAAATGCTAAAATTCCAGATTATTTAGGTGCCTGGATATTGGATAATATGTCTATAAATTATCACGATTAATAAGTCACTTTTAGTGAACAATGACATTACTTTTAATGAATTATGTTACACTAATCCAGCAATTATTTCAGGACGGTTCATTAGTTTGTTTCTATTCTTTCAGACAATGTCATTAATACATTTTATATTTTGATTTACTCACTTTTATTTTCAACGTTTGCAAAATCGGTGATTGCCCTTTAAATTATAACAGAGAAACTGTTATACGTAAGAAAATTGAACCGGATGTTTTCGTGAGGATCTCGGATAATCAACAAGCTCTGTTTAACAATCATCTAAATGACGCTGTACTTGTGACATTAGGCCCCATTCTCGCATATGATCAGTAAACAATTCTAAAGTCTTTGCCACTAACATCGGTGTTATCTCTGATTTATGGAAGATAGGGGTCAGTAGCTCGATAGATACTGCAATATTAAGTTGGTAATATGTCAACATATTTGTAGCACTAAGCGTCGCTATGCACAGTTCGGCAACCAAGTCAAATATGTCACACGATGCAGTTCTATGAGTCGCTGGCTGGATGTGGAAAGCCCAACTGTCAAAAATTCCCCACATCTAACGTGTAACGCATACTCTCTCCTCTGCTACATATTTTATTAGCCTTGTGATCGTCTATTATTGTCTCGGGTTGTATTTGTAATTCTTTAACTGGTTAGGGCGTATCTTTAAATGTTTCTTTAACATCTCACGTTGTGTATATCTTTTTATCAGTCCCCAAAATATCGTTTGATTCAAGATGACAGGAACAAAAGTACGGTTTCTACAGTTTTATATCAAGATGGATACATAGCTTTGAAGCATAGATCAAAAATAAAGCCATTCTCCCTATCTCTCAACCCAGAAGTTGCCATGATGTTTGCTCTCTCCAATCTACGTCTGGGGTGTTTTTTCTACGGTTGGATTTTCGCAATCTATTATTTAATTGGCCAGATATGACGTAATTAATTATGATGATTGGTTACTAAGCCTAATGACCACATGACTAAGCCAAATATGGAATGGCCATACCTTGCATACCAATATGTGGCATATGACAAAAGTTCAATTCATGTAGATTTCTGTTGTTTCCGCTGTTTGCTTGACTATAAATCTGTAAACTATATAATTAGTCTGGGCCATGATATTATTTGTATTTATCAAATAACATTGCGTTTCAAAATATTACGTATTTACCGCTATTATTCCTTTATCGCATAAATCCCTTACTTATCTTATCTTGCTACATATTGTGATTGTGCTGATGATTTTATCTCTGAAAAGACAATTTTTGCGGAGTTAATTTAATAATTCGCTATGGTGGATATCGTCATTCTGTTTTAAATGCACATGTCGACATAGCGCATGTCTATATTTTGCAAAAATGTCGACATATACTACGGCGAAATGGAATAATGTTGATTAAGCTTCAGAATAGCAATATCTTAACACAAACGTGTACATTTAAAACAAAATGGGGACATATAACATAGCGCAAGTATCCATGCGCTTAACTCGGCAAAAATTGTCTTTTCAGAGATAAAATCATCAGAATAATCACAATATATTGACATATTACCAACTTAATGTTGCGGTATCTATCGCGCTATTGACCCCTATACGCTTTCATACCGATTGCTTTAACAAAAAAAAAAATATTCCCACAAATAAAACAGTTACCTCCGTAACATCTATAATTTTCTTCGTGTATATACGTCCTAACAGCTTTGTAAAATATTTGCAATAAAATATGAAGAGAATTGGGTGTTAAGATATGGAGAGAAAGAGAGAAATGGGGTTTAACGTCCACGCGAAACAAACTAGGTCATTTCGGGACTAACACATGGTTCAGTTTTATTTCAATAATTCGCTTGCCCGTAGGGGTCTTTAGCAGTGAGAGGAAACCGGGGGACCCGGAGAAAACCGACGAGATTGGGCAGGCTACCCTGTCACGTACGCCCGGGAAATCGAAACCACGTCAGTTGACTCAATGACAGACCTTATTTTACAGCGCGCATGTGCTAACCATTCGGTCATCACCCCCACCCGAATTAAGATATGGAGATAATGGGATGTTTGAAATGGAGAGATATGAGCGTGTGATATCGAGAGAATAGAATATTGGATTATGAAAGAACGGGGTACTGGATATCGCTAGGTGTGCGAGGTATCGAGAACATGGGTTATTTGATATCGATTAAAAGTTGTTGCATTGTTGTATATAAGATTTGTCTACTTCCAGAAATGATGGCAGTTCGTTATCAAAGTACCTACGTCATATTCGCTTTTGCGGGTAATTATTCTAAAACTGTAAACTAAATCAAATATGGTTGTAGGTCTCCCAACGGCTGGAAGAATCCCGCAAATGGTCGATTCCAATATATGTAGTGAAGACCCTATCTTCCCACATAGGGGTAGTTGAATTGGTGTTTAGCTGTCCACTGACCAAATTAAAGCAACATTCCACTAACTTTGCGGAATGAAAAGTTCATTTAATCTTTCAGGTTTTATGACGGGTGTCATGTTTGATATAATGCTCGGCTTACTCCTCGATGATATGATACCCCTTCTCATTATGCAAAGTTTAGTAAGATTCGTTAACATCAAAAAACAAACAAAGGCTCACAAGATTTCAGTTATGATTTATTTGCTATTAATTTTTTTTTATAGAACGTCTAAAATTTCACTTAAAGGTGCATTATTTAAGAGCGAAATCTGCCGATTGCAGTTTTTTCTGACTATAAATTTTATATTCACATGACAAGCACATAATCATCTTTCTAGACGATCTAGATATTGAGTGGATTAGACAATATTTTCCATATCTTCGTTAAACGTTAATATGGACGCCACACCGTTTATTATTGTAGGAATTGTACTTAACATTCCAGGTTATGTCTTGTCGAACTTTCAAACATTTATAACTTCAATCAGAATAATGTAATTTGAAATTGTCAATATATTCATTTTTCATTATCTATTTTTAAATTAGTATAACAAGAACGATCAGTTCTTTATCCGAATCTTACGTAATGCATCTTAAATTTGACAAGAATATATAGATAACATTTTGTTTTTATATTCGTATTTTTAAGGGGTGTGTTTTGTGATAGCTTCAGTAACAGGCCTACTGATTAACGTTACAACGAAGAAGCATAATATACTAGAAGTTAAAGAATCAGAAATAGGTGAAACGGATCAGAAATATTTTGAATCGAATGAAAAGGAAGCATTCTTTGGCATAAATACAGAAACGTCGGTTATTCTGGAGGTCGGAGACGATATATTGAATGATTAAAGTGGAGTTAGTCAGCATCAATAACGGGCAGCAAACTATCCATATTCTATTGTTTGTTTAGTATAAAGTCAGATATAGGTGAAAGGCTCTCGCAATAGGAAGCTATTTAATATCATTTTTTATACGCCCACATTTTCATGTGGACGTATTATGCCGTCGCCCCTGTCCGTCCGGACGTCCGTCTGTCTGTCGGTCCGTCCGTCCGTCCGTCCACAATTGTTTGTGGACTCTCTACAGGTCACAATTCTTATCCGATTTTGACGAAACTTGAAATATGGGTTTATCCCCAAAAGATCTTGGCTGCTTTCGATATTGGCATGTATCGGATCGAAACTTCATGGATTATGGCCCCTGTTTGTACGAAAAATCACGTTTTTAGCTTGTGGACCCTATAGAGGTCACAATTTTTATCCGATTTTGTTGAAACTTGAAATGTAAGTTTATAACCCAAAGATCTCGGTTCCTTTCGATATTCGCGCATATCGGACCATAACTTCCTGAATAATGGCCCCTGATTGTACAAAAAATCGCGTTTTTAGCTTGTGGACCCTATAGAAGTCATAATTTTTATCCGATTTAAAAAACCGTATTATAATATCACCGTTACACCCTAAGGATGGCTAGGTTCGAATTTTGTGAAAATCGGCCTAAAATTGACAGACAAAATCGCCGCCGTTCGTTCTCAAATAGCGTAAAAATATGGTATATCAAGTTTGTGGACCCTATAGAGGTCACAATTTTTATCCGATTTTGTTGAAACTTGAAATGTAAGTTTTGTAACCCAAAGATCTCGGTTCCTTTCGATATTCGCGCATATCGGACCGTAACTTCCTGAATTATGGCCCCTAATTTTACGAAAAATCGCGTTTTTAGCTTGTGGACCCTATAGAGGTCATAATTTTTATCTGATTTAAAAAACGTATTATTATATCACCGTTACACCCTAAGAAGAACTGAGTTCGAATTTCGTGAAAATCGGCCCAAAATTGTCAGACAAAATGGCTGCCGTTCGTTCTCAAATAGCGTAAAAATATGGTATATCAAGGTTGTGGACCCTATGGATAGAGGTCGCAATTTTTATCCGATTTTGTTGAAACTTGAAATGTAAGTTTATAACACAAAGATCTCAGTTCCTTTCGATATTCGCGCATATCGAATTGTAATTTCCTAAATTATGGCCCTTGATTGTAGGAAATATCACTTTCTTGTTAGATTGTTCTCTATCCATCTCTCGAAAATGTGGGCGTATCCTGCCTGGCAGCCACTGGTTTTAATAATAAAAAGGAATGCAAACTTTCAATTTCAATTGGGGGTTGGGCACAAGTCACTATATTTTACTCTGTGTAAATGTCTGATTAACTATGTCTAAATATTTGCCTAAGTTATAGGGGCAAGTGATCGCCATTGTATGAAATACGAGCAGTGATGAAACAATCCAGATACAAAATTACCCTTGTGATTTTGCTGTCTCTTGAAGGTCGGATTATAATGTATGACGTTTGTACCCATTTTCTAAGGTATAAAGTTTTAGTAGGTTAGTGGAGCAGCATTTTGAGTTTTGTTAAGGAAATGTACGTATCAACTGATTTATTGTTAAAGGCACTAATGTTCATATATATCTGAAAAGTAAAACAATTGAACTATTTTAATGAAATGTTGAGGTTCTCTACCTACCGTAATTATAATTCACACCCAAGTAAAAACTTTAGAAAATTTATTATAACTTGTGGATGTTACACCCTATTTCTTTTTGGTTGAAACTATTTAAATGGGATAAGTTAATTTTTCGGTTTTGCTTATGTATTTATATTGCTAAAATGATTTGAATAGAATTTAAATTCAGTCAAGAAGAAAGGGGTGAAATGGAAATTAACAAGTCTGTCTTTCCGTTTTATGGAAGGAAACTTGTCATTTAAATCTTAAAAATGTCAAATTGTTTCCGTAGAAAAAGGAGTCACTGCCGTATGCTCGTATCGAACATCCGTGAACCTACAGGAAATATAGACACTCAATTTATTTTACATATTTATATTGTTACGGTTTATTATTTTAATGAAATAACTATATTAGTTGTTTCGCTGTGCGCAGATTGTATGATTAAAGCGGCATAGCTAATTTTGTGATTGAATGTAGTTATAAATGAATAAAAAAATATTAATTGTTTTATATACTTGATACTGCCTGAATGCAACCAGTCTAATTGAAACGGTGTTATTTTCGTTCCGTTTACTTTGACGTTAAATATAACGCAGAGCGCAGATAACAACAACCGAGAAATAAAAAGGAAAGAAACGTCTATTTAAAAGAGCTAAACGGCTAATATTTGGAGACCTAGAAATTGACAGAAACGAGTCGCAACGCATATAATAATGCAAAATATGAATGTATAAACTGATTTACATTCAATCGTTTCTGTTTTTACTCTAATTTCAAATCAGTTATTTTCGGCAAAATACGTCAGAAGACCCAATCGAATGGCAATCTTTAGCGTCCGGTTATACCTGTCTACACCGAAGGTATTTATTGCGCATGACTTGTGGAATATGTCTAGTCTTGTTCTTCAAGTCCATTGTTACAAATGGCGCTGAAACGCATTCTGGCGATTCGTGAACCAATGGCAAAATGTGTATTTTGTATTAAATATCGGATATCAGAAGCCCATCCTTTCCCGGTAATATCACAAAATCAATGTTGATTTAAATTGACAAATAATTCGTGTTTTCAATGTCGAAGACCTTGATCATATTGAGTTCGAGACTTAGCTACTTTAATTTGCGTTAGACTGAGTATCCGTACACATTTTTTGGGTTCATTGTCCATCATGTCTATGTCAGTTTTTCATTATAAAGAAGTTGTTTAAAACCAACTATATTGTTTCATGTTATTAACATATTGTATTCTATTTTTATACTTTTAGTCATCTATTTCGAAATAAAGTATACCGTTTGTTATTATTGGCATTAATAATCTTGCTAAAGAAAGGGCGGCCGCGGTGGCTCAGTGAGTAAAGCATTCGATTCCGGTGTTGGCCGAGAAAGTTTATCTGGATTTTCAGGCGTGGTCCCCAGTTGCCGGTGGTGCAGGATAGAGGGCTTGGTAAGGGACAACATATAGTCGTTCGGACTGGACAAATAATCGAGGTCCCGTATACACATTAGCGTGCACGTAAAAGAACCCTTCGCAATTGGAATTCGATATATTAGAGTAGGACGTAGCGCCCCTGTGCGGGCAAATGTTCCCTCATACTCATAGGACGTTAAATCCCATTACATTTCATTTTGTTAAAAAATAAAAAAAAAAAAATAAAAAAAATAGGTTTACTTCAATTTTCCTTTCCACTTTACCAATTGGGTGCACAAATTCTACCCATGATGGAATTTGCATTAGGTGGAAGCGGGCGTTAACCTCTAATGACGCCAGAAAATAATTTTTGTTATAAGATTATGTGATAAAATGTCGGGCACTAGTAGGTTAGATTCTACTTTTTACTTGTCTAGGCGATTAAACATGCATTATGCAAGAGCTAAATCTGCCTATTGTAGGTCTTTCTTTAGGCCTGAAATGTTATATAAATTATTAATTAGACATTAATTATCTTACCATATTTAGTAGATCTAAATACGTTTTGTGGTTGATCAAATAACCGTAACAATGGATAACCGAGATTTAGTTTATCATTGTATCGCCCATAGCTTGGTTCAGCGTGAAGTAATTTGACTATTTTAGCGAGAACTGTCAGCCCCTTATCTAATCTTTGGACTGATACTTCTTTTAGGTATACAACTTTCATAATAATGTAGTTTCCAGTAAAAATTAAATCGAACAAACTTAGACCGAGAGCTTTATTCTCGAAAAGAATTGACTTAAGTTTGGATATAAGAGGTTAGATTAGCATGTGCCAACCAAAATTCAGTTTTTTAGCTAGAGACCTGAAATTGTACACACTATTAGAAAAATCCCGAGAATCATTAATCTGTTTAATTTTTTAAAATCTGTTCAGAACATTTTTTTGTAGGTAAGTAGCGTTTTCCAAAATCCGTCAAAAACAGGCAAAAATGATAAACTAATATTTTGACTGACTGAATGACTTCGAAGCAGGCTCACATTTTACACATATTATGTACTAGATATACACATTTAATAAAATGAACGACAAAAATATTGTTTTTAACTTTTATTTGGACAAAATTTGAAGGAAAATTAGCCATATTTCGTATAAAAAAGTAATAGAGTCAACAATATTAAACAAAATTATAAAAAAAAAAAAATCATTACATCTTGAAAATTGGTTTCTGATGGAAAATTAAATTCAAACTTGGAAGTATGTTTTCTTTGATCAGTTATGAAATATTAAATATAAAATGAAACTTAATAAAAGGAAATAAATCGTAACAAACAAAAACCTGTTACAATTAGGTAGGCCTACATGTATGTCTACATCATATTTACTAAGTTAAAATCAACAATAAAGCTATTTTAATAATTTTTAATTGGGATAAAATTAAAGGAAATCGGTCTTATTTCTGACTCCATCACAATAACTTAAAAAGACAAATAGATCTTAGAAACTGGTTTTCTTTCTGAGGTTGAAATGATAATCAAACTAGAATTTTACGGGGTTTTTTCTGAATAATTATAAAATAACATTTCTTATTATATATATATTACAATGACTTTAAGTTTTCTCTTAATAATTTAAAATATGAAAAAATAAAACTTGACAAATATTATAACTATACCAATAACAATAAAAACAACAAGGCATCTAAATTTCAATCAAATCTTTTGCCAAGTTTCAGGAACCTGAACAATAATTATAGTAAATATGATTAAATAATATTGGTAAACAATACTCAAATGAAATGGAGTTTCCTGTCTTGACCGGGAGGTCAGGGCAGGGGCCGGGGTTGCCAGTCCCGGCGGCGGAGCCTTTTTCTCGCCCTTCTTCTTTTTTTCGGCTGTTTAGCCTTTACGTTCTCTAGTTCTAACAGGTGCTCCATCCTTAATTCAGCAATCCCTTCTCTTGCCTTAACTTTGAGTGCCCGGCTTGCCAGGACAATTTTGGGACACAGTTTGGAGCTTGCCATGTGGTCACCCTGGCAATTCCTACATTTGGTTGTCGTCCCCGGGCACACAACACTTTGTGATCCTTTACGCGGCGACCACAGGCATCCTTCCCAGAGCAGAACTTCTCCGTATGTCTCCAACCTCGTGGGTTTTCTCCGGGTCCTCCGGTTTCCTCCCACTGCTAAAGACCCCTACGCGCAAGCAAATTATGTAAATAAAATTAAACCATATGTTAGTCCCGAAATGATCTAGTTTGTGTCGAGTGGACGTTAAACCCCATTTCTCTCTCTCTCTCTCCCCGTATGTCCCATGTTGGCTGCTCTCTTTCACTTTTAATCTATGGGTCTCCCCCACCCCATAGCCTCTAAGTTTGAGGTCCTCTGTAATTTCCGCCGCACTATATTCGGAGAAGATCCCATGGACCAAGCATTTCTCAGAGCTGAGAGAGTGTGGTAGGTAGGTTGACATTCTCACGCACGTGAGGGTGTGAAAGGAACGGGCCCGTTCCATATCCACCTCGTCCCGGAAAGCCAAGCGGAGCTCTCCGGTTTTCGTGACGGTGATTGTCATTATGCCGGACATCTCCCAGATATCTTTAATTTCTTTTCCCAGTGTCCCTTTCTTACCCAAGAAAGGCGACCCATCTAGTGGTTTAACTTCTAAAAGATGGCGGTACGGATCGGGCAGATTCCTCTGGCGGAAACTTTTGGGGGCCCGAGAGCTATTGAAACCTTCGGCGTTTTAGAGGGGTAACTGGTGAGTGGACCTCACCTTCAAGGACCTCTGTAGGCCATCCGCCAAAACTAAGTCAAAGGCCTTGGTCAGGTCGACGAATACTGCACATGGATAATTGTTCTTTTTAGATAGTGAAGTCATGATAATGCTGTAACCTTACAATATGATCAATAGTGGAGCGCTGCTGTCTATATCCACTTTGATTTGGACTGATTAATCCATTACTTTCACAGTAATATTTTAGCATATTATTTACCATGGTCTCAAGTGTTTTACACAACGTAGAGGTCAAACTTATCCGCCTGTAAGAACCAGTTTCATTTTTATAAGTGATCAAGGGCCATGACCTCAAACACTGTGTAGAAATTTAAAGTCAATCGGATATTAACTTTGACCTCTTTAGAGCGTCCACAAGATTTTTTGAAGTGATCAAGGGCCGTAACTCTGGCAGTAATTATCGGAATCAATAGGATTCTTCATCTCATGACCGTAAACACTGTGTATAAATTTAAAGTCAATCGGATATTAACTTAAGCCTCTAGAGCGTCCACAATGCAATTGTGGACTCCGGACCGACAATATACGACCCCATTTCAATGTGGGCTATAAAAAAACCAGCTGGAGGTCAATAAGTTCTATGCACCTGGAGCACTTTGTCACAATAAACGACCCGCCGAGCGGAGCGATGCAAATCATTCTTTTTAAAATAATAGTAACACTTTAATATTCCATATGATCGGCCCCTGCCTCGAGCCTTTTTGGAGGCGTATTTAAAAACGCCAAAACCCGAAAAAGTCCCACTGTTGTTCCGACTGTCCAGAATATTTGCGCAAGTATAGTATTACGAGAACCGTAAAGAAGAATAAATAAATTAAGGTGGGTGGGACCGTTATCAATGCCACTTATATCATGAATGATTTTAGCACAAAAACTATATCCTCGGTAGTGTTCGGATATTCGAACACGAATACTATTCGAATATTCGACGGGTCTTGAAATTTGTTTTCGAATACTATTCGAATATTTTCAATATATTTAAAGTGATTTAAATATTTAATTTATTATAATTCATAATCAATTATCAAATACGCGAAATCTCTGTTGACTCGTGATCAATGCACAAGATAATATTTTAGCAATTGCCAGTGGATCTTTTACGTAAACTGTCAATTTGTACACTAGAACTCGGCCTTCCACGACATCAAAACAAGTTTTTTCCATCACCAGTGTATAGGAATTCTTCCGCGCTGCATTCGAAACAAAAGGTGTCTCTTTCATTTGTGGGTGTAGCACTGCAGCAATTTCCATCATTTCACGGAAATCACTGTCGTCTAGTCGCTTTTCCATATAAGCAGAAAACAGTCTCTTCATATTGGTGATGAATGTGGGTTCACCCAGCTGTTTCTTCATGACGAATCCAAGTAAATTCATCGCAATGGCATATATAGATGACGTCGTACAGTGAGTTTCGCTACACATTTGTTCAGATATAATGTGAAGTCTCTCAAGGGAGTCACACACTGATTTAGCTTTCACCCAGAATTCAGCATCGGGCACCCTGGCTACTTACCGAATAACTGTCTCTGAAGACGGTATGTAGGGTAGCGCCCTTGCAAGCTGAGAGAGAGAGAGAGAGATGGGTTTCGACTCGACATAAACTAGGTCATTTCGGGACTAACGTATGGTTCAATTTTATTTCAATAATTCGCTTGCGTGTAGGGGTCTTTAGCAATGGGAGGAAACCGAAGGACCTGGAGAAGACCCACGAGGTTGGACAGGCGACCTTACTCCTTGTCACGTACAACCGGGAAATCGAAACCCGAAACCACGACAGTTGACTCGATGACAGACCTTATGATACATCTCGCACACGCTAACCATTCTGACACCCCCCTACCCTTACAAGCTGCAGTTAGGTAATCTAAATAAGCTTTGAATGTAAATGTGGCAGGTCGCCTTTAATAATATTTGAGAGCAAATAGAATAAATAATGTAGATATTCGAAAATATTCGAATATGGTTATTACTATTCGAATATTCGAATATTATATTCGACGAGCGAATATTCGAATATTCGTGCCGAACACTAATCCTCGGTGCCATCTAGCACAAATACTCAGCCAAATTAAAAACTTGACACTGATGAATTTCAACAAAAAATTTTTTCTGGTAAGTCAATTGCCGACCGCCCAAGGAAGATCAAGCAATACGATTACGTCATCTTAGAAACAGATTTGTCACTGCAACCTTCACAAGTAGAGAGATGTTTGGTGGAAGGGTAACTGCACAAACTGTTCGAAATCGCTTGCAGGCTGCTGGTCTTTGAGCTCGGAGGCCCTATAATGGACCAATATTGACACCTCTTCATCGCCGTAGCCGACTTGTGTGGGCCACAAGACACATAAGATTTACTCAAAGACAGTCGAATTCGGTTGTTTTTAGTGACGAATCTCAATTCACTTTGAGATTTTCCGATGGCAGGGTCTGAGTGTACCGCAGACGAGGTGAACGTTACGCTCAAGTATGCTTCAGAGAAGTTGACCGATTTGGTGACGGCAGCGTCATGGTTTGGGGTTCTTTTTGTGCACATGGACGTTCTCCTCTTGTTGTTGTCCAAGGGAACTTAAATGCTGTCCAGTACAGGGATCAGATTTTGCAACCTGTTCTTCTTCCGTTTATGCAGAGACATGGGCCTGGACTAACGTTTCAACAAGACAATGCTCGGCCCCATACAGCAATTGCTACCCAGAATTTTTAAAGAAATGCCGGTGTCCAAGGCCTGGATTGGCCGTCGCTTAGCCCCGACCTTAATCCTATTGAACACATTTGGGACGAACTGGGTCGACGTGTTCGTCAGCAAGTGAATCCACCACTGACGTTGCAGGACCTTCAACATGCTCTTGCTGAGCAGTGGCGACGTCTTCCTCGGGTAGTGTTTACTAATGTTCTGAGATCCATGAGTCGAAGACGTTGTGTGGCAGTACGAGACGCTAGAGGAGGCCACAACCGTTACTAAACACTTTATTCCGATTGTTCTCCAAGTCTGTGAATTTTATTTTGGGGGGTACTGTGACATCACGAACGTTATCAATGTCAAGGACTTTCGGCAGGTGTTTTCTTGCTTTCTGTTGATGTCAAGGTCGTCTGTGCACAACATAACACTAAAATAGTTGCCTTAAACCAAATATTAAAAATCTAGTCCCAAAAATCCCGAGTGCCAAGTTTTTAAAGGCTCAATACCACTCTTGTTGTAACTGAATAATATGTCCCAATCTTTATTCTGGTCAACAAATTGTACTATTTTAGAATATTTCAATTGATTGATAATACAAATTTCATCTTAACACACCTTATTTAGAAATTTTGAAAAATTCAACATAATGGTTTGAAACGTCTAACGTAAACCTTTTCAAATGAAACTTCGATTTAAAAATATTTTCGAACCCTCTGGACAAGTAAAATACGATGTAATGGATAATATACGCAACAGGTAGGACACTTAAACATCTAGTACTTAGATAGAGATATTATTTATTTTCTGGAGCTTTCAAGCCAGCAAGAGTGTGATTGTCCCTTTAATTTGGCTGAGTATACAATAAAGTTTTTTTCCGCTTATCTCAAAACCCTCAAAAATGAGTTGAGCACTTGCGTTATGACAGTGACGAAATGCTCATCTTCGACTTCCATCAAGGCATTCACCTAATAAACACCTACACCAAGTTTGAATATCATAGGTCATTTTGAAGCAGAGTTATTGTGTCCTAAAAAGTGTGACGGACAGACAGACAGATCCATTTTAACAGTCCCCTGCTTTTTTTGAAAGGTGGGAAAAAAGAGAAAAAATGTAAACATTCAGTGACTCCGGTTAAAGAAACGAATCGGTGGTTTGACTTATCTGCACCAACAGGGGTAACATGGACGGATTTTCGATTAGTAATTATTGACATATAAACAAGATTAATATATTTTTATTTCAAGAAAAAAAACCCAACAAAAACATTTCTAATTGTCATAAACCATTTCAAATGTATATAATCGCCTAAACATTGTAGTATAATTATAATAGAAATACATGAAATAAACCAGTTACAAAAAATATAAGTATTGTGATGATTTAAAAAATTTTTTTAAACATTGGCTAGCATTCTTTAACCCAAAAGAAATTAATAGTAACAGAATTTAATTGTTATAAAGGAATATGATATAGAATTTGTATTCAATGGCTAATAAAGTAAACATTCAAACTCAAGTCAACTTTGCCGATATGATAAACCAACACACCTTAAAACCTTGGCTTTACTTACATATTGTAATTTTTGCTCAAACGACTGACTAAAAGTGTAATATTTTAAGCAAGTGAACATAACATAACATTAATTGATAATTGAATAGGTCTTTATTTAAAATATAAAAGTAATTGAAATATTAAATAAAGTAAAAATATACAAAATATCAAGAACAAAATATACAACCTTGCAATTCAATTCAAGCCTCGACAACTGGAATGCAGTACAGTCACATTTCTGTCTAATGACAGGAAAAACATTAAGTGTAAAAAGCAGAAACTATTCACATTCAATTTTTATCTAGCAATGATACTCCTGCGTATTAGTATAGTTCAAGTTGATTTGCCTGAATGTAACATGATTTCATGCTTCAATCAATTTGGCACATGATTACGTGCTTTGGTCGATATGCAGCACGTTTACATGCTTTGATAAATTTGGCACATATTTCATGCTTTGATAAATTTGGCACACATAATACATGCTTAGATAAGAAACCTATCTCTAAACCATCCGTGTTTCGGGATAAGAGATGGTGCTATATAGTTTTACCTGGCAAAACCCGATGTGAAACACGTCGGGCTTCAATAAGCAAATTTGACATTTTTCATCAAAACAACGACTGATTATGGTTATTTATAACATTTCTGCACATTCAACTACAATTAAGCATATAATCCCATCCGACACTGGGTACAAATCATGTCTTTTTAAATCGAAGCGATGATAGCCTTTTAAATTGGACACATTTGACGCCATGAAGGCGAGGTGTCGTATACAACAGCCAATCAAAGTATACTTACCTGATATGAGCTGCGCAGGAATAATACACCATATTTATGAATGTCCGTATCAATTTTGATAAAAACAACACATACTTGATTTTATTTGTTTACAATATTTGCAGATAAATCAAAGTTGTTTCACTAGAGTGGGGTGGGTATGTTTAATAAGTTCTAGTATTATAAATTAACTTATTTTTAAGATTTTACATGCATTATTAGTAAAGTTTGCCAGGTGAAACTAAAGACACCCAATGGAAGATAAAAACAAGCACATCAGTACATCTCAACGTTTTTAGCTACGTTCTAGTAGCTAAATACATGCGATGATCAATTTTTTTATTTTTTTTTTTGGGGGGGGGGGAGTTCAGGCTGGCGCATTAAATAGAATCTATGGACTCGATAGCTTGAGTGAGACATTTTTACACATTGACTTTGAAATTAAATTTTCTGGTTTGATTTCGCACATTGTGTACAATCTCTTAGTCTCAAATTACCATATAATTTCTGATTTTGTTTTAGCAAGTTTTGTAGTATTCAACATTTATTTTAGCTATATGTTAACAGGAAATATGATTTGCATTAAGCCCTTAACGTGGTCTTTGTTTCAATTACTGAAATAAAGTAATTCCCTGAGAAAGAAAACGAAAGTTTAGAAAATAACACAAGCATAACCATAGAAGCAAAGTTGCCAGGCTGAGAAATTGTTTTACATAGCTAACCCATCACACTAGTGTAATTGAAATTACACTAAACTTTGTTTGATTTTTCAGTTGTTTACCCCACTACATCTTGGTTTATAGACATTTCTTTATAAGGCTTGATGATTAATGTGAAAATTGTGATTGTTGTCTCCAGACTGACATATTAATCAACCTTGACACAGAAAATTCTACCAAGTATTTTTGAAAGGCTTTGATAATTGAGAAATTGGTTGTTTAATCAATATCAAAGGTTTATTGTGCCGTTATCACAGGCCCAGTATGCCAATTCCTTAAAATTATCTTTCAATATCAATGGAATGAGCAACAAATGAACGAATCGGGAATGGTGATTTAAATTAGATTTCAATTATAACTAACACATGAATAATGTGTACAGTTGAATCAAATTAGATTTCAATTACTAGATTTCATGTTAGTTCAATGAAGAACTACCTTTGAAAATTCCAGATTATTATTCTCAAGTCTAATGATGCCCGTGCAGCAGTAGAAACACATGTCACAACAATAGGCAGTAATAAAGACTATCACCACCAGCACTCTGAAGGGATGCTTTCAAGTTTCCAGGGACAATAACAATCCACAAAGTTGATGGGCAAGTGTGAATTTCAATAGGCTTCCTCCTTACTAGTCAAACAATCCTAGTAAGTTTGAGGGATATATTGAAGGCTCTAACTTGGGAGAGTATTTACAAGATTTCGAAGACAGGGGCACTAACTCTCCTATAAAGCACTGCACAACTATGAATTGCTATATTGTTCCTCCATAGGACTATCTCAATTATCCCAGCAAGTTTGAAAAAAAACAAAACAACCAGCGGCTGCCAGGCAGGATATGCCCACATTTTGTAAGAGATGGATAGAGAACAAGCTAAAAACAAACGTGATTTTTTGTACAATCAGGGGCAATAATCCAGAAAGTTATGGCCTGAAATGTGCAAATATCAAAAGGGACTGAGAACTTTGAGATATAAAGTTATGTTTTAAGTTTCATCTAGAGGGTCCACAATCTTTGTATTACACACTACTACACAATTTGCATACAAAGAGCGCCATTTTGTCGGGCAGTTTCATTTCGATTTTCCCGAAATTTGAATTCAACCTTCATTATGGTGGAATGGTGATGTGTTTAAGCGGTTTTTAAAGTCAGAAAAAAATTGTGACCTCTAGAGAATCTGCAAGCTAAATATGCCATTTTTCAAACAATCAGGGGCCATAATCCAGGAAGTTAAGTTCAGGTATCTGTGATTATCAAAAGGAACCAAGATCTTCGTGTGTAATGGTGATATATTCACCACAAGCTAAAAACGGGACTTTTTGTTCAATGAAGGGCCATAATTCAGGAAGTTACGACCCGATATGCCCAAATATCGAAAGGAACCAATATCCTTGGGTTATAAACATGTATTTCAAGTTTCATCGAAATCGGATCAAAATTGTGACCTCTAGGGGTCCACAACTTTGATATACCAGATGTTTACACTATTTGCGTATGAAGGGCGCCATTTTGTCCGGCAGTTTTGGTCTGATTTTCGTGAAATTCAAACTCAGACAAACTTACGTGTAACCGTGATATATTCTATTGGGGTTTTTTTAAATAGGATAATAATTTTGACCTCTAGAGGGACCACAACCTAAAAACGCGATTTTTCATACAATCAGGGACCATAATTCAGGAAGTTATGATTCGATATGTACGAAAATCGACAGTAACCAAGATATTTGGGTTATAAACATGCATTTCAAGTTTCAGCAAAATCAGATGAAAATTGTGACCTCCAGACAGTCCACAACCCTGATACACAATATTTTGACACTATTTGCGAACGAATGGCGGCCATTTTGTCTGTCACTTTCGGTCCGATTTTTACGAAATTCGAACTCAACCAGCCTTGGGGTATAACAGGGATATATTCTAACGGCTTTTTAAATCGGATAAATATTGTGACCTCTATAGAGTCCACAAGCTAAAAATGCGATTTTTCGTACAAGGAAGTTATGGCCCGATATGCGCGAATATCGAAAGGAACCGAGATCTGTGGGTTATAAACATGCATTTCAAGTTTCATCAAAATCAGATGAAAATTGTGACCTCTACAGTGTTCACAAGCTAAAAACGTGATCTTAGCTTAGGGTGATAAACCTATATTTCAAGTTTCATTGAAATCAGATAAAAATTGTGACCTGTAGAGTGTTCACAAACAATTGTGGAGGGACGGACATCCGGACCAACGACAATATACGTTCACATGAAAATGTGGGCGTATAAAAACCCTTTAAACTGTACGGTATTTACAAGAATTGCTGAGGGACAGATGCATATGGGCGCAAACGAATTAGTTTTGTTCAGTAAGTCGACAGCTAAACCAAATAAAAACATTTTTTTGATGTAATTATAAAGTTTTGATATAAGTTAATAAATAAATCTATCTAAAATAAATAACAATGTATGTACAATATACCTAAATAATACACTATTTAACAAATTCATTCACATATGTGCCAGGTTTAACCTCACTTTCCCCACATTTGATTGTTTTGATAAAGGATTAGGAGGTTACTAGACTGTGGGTGTAGAACTATAGTCTGTTCTAATTAATTAGTATCACTGGTGTAAACTCCTCACTCTAATTATTGTTACTGGTGAACACTTCCCACTATCAGTAGAATGGGCAAATTGGTGAAATCAGTTTACTAATAAATTTACACCCAGGACACCCATTGAATACCTCAACACTGTTATGAATTTTGTTGGACTGTGAATTGTCATGTTTATCAAACTGTTTATAAATATTTATACTATAAAAATATATTTATTTATTTTAATATATGCACTTACTATGTATTACTTATTATAATTTAACATATATATATATTTATTATATATTTGTACTTATTATATATTTATTATATTATATATGTATTAATTTGTATATTATTAAAATTCTGGAAATGGTATAATATAAGAATCCATATTATATGTATTTTTTTTACATGTAATCTTTTTCATTAATATTATTTAAATCATTTTGTTGAAGTGTCACAAACTTGTTACAGACTATACTTTAAACTCCCTTTGTTGATTAATTAGTCATGGCCTGGTGGACCCAGACTCTAAACAATAGATGTGGGGAAAGTGAGCTGTCCCCATGTGCCAATGTGACAAATCAGAGAAATGTTAGTCTAAAATGTTCAAATTTCCCTAATAGCAAAATATTGATTATAGATACATTATGGTAGATTACATAAAGAGCTGACAGTTCTCACTATAATAGTTAAATAATAGATAATGTAACAGGAATATGCTGAAAATTTCAGTCAAATTACATCACTCTAAGCCGAGAAATACTATTTTAATAACATTGTAGCCTTGATTGTCATTGTTGTGACAAATAATAAACTAAGTTCTTTAATCCATCATCAATGGCTGTTGAACGGCAGATCAGATTCAAATATAAGGAAAATCGGAAGCATCAGATCTGATGAAATTGAGAGTTGATTATGGTCTTGTCATGTTAATAAATGTCTAATTGTAATATAATAGTTTATACAACATTTCAGGCCTAAAGAAAGACCTGCAATAGGCAGATTTAGCTTATGCGGTAGTGATGCTTGTAAAAAAAATTATTGACCCACCAGCGGCAAATTTAGTTGTGTTAGCTCTAAAATCATAGTCATCATGCAAATCCTTCAGTACAAAGCTGAAGACGACAATATATGTTCACAGAATTAAGTAAATATACATTTTCACTGCCGAGGCCATCTACAATAACTTATCTCTGAAAATGCTACCTTGAATCGTAGAATAAAGTATCAGCTGTAGATTGGCTCTAAGATCATTTATATGAAAACAAAGGAACATATCTAAATTGAATATACAATAAATATCAGATTACTAAATTTAAGTGCCGTAGATTATAGACTATAAAAGGTGTGTGATATAGAAAATATAAAATAGTTATATGGGGACCAGATCAAACAAGTATGACATCTTTACAAAGACAGAGTCTTTTTTATAAATAAATACAAGATAAGATATTGAGCGGCCGGTCCCACTATATATCTTTAAGAAGCAGTTTCCATGTTAAATGCCTCAACTTTAAATGTTAGTGAAAAATGTTGAAAGTCCAAACACATAATCACTTTGTACATACAGATCTGTAGCCAAGTAGATGATACAGGTGGGCTGTACCCATATAGATGGTACAGGTGACTGTACCCAAATAAATGGTATGCTGTATGGGTGGCTGTAGCCAATTAGTTGGTACAGTTTGCCTAGATAAAGATCCCAATAATTAAAAAAAAATTCTTATGAATGAATATTAAAGGAAATTATTACATACTATTATTTCATCCAATGCTCCAATAATATATTTAAACAACTTTTTTATAGTTCATGCTATGTAAATATATATATTTTCATTAAACTTAATTCAACCTAATTTAATACAAATAAATACATACATAATAAATAATGTAATAACATACCTATATCTATGTTTGCAGAGTGTTTTTACTACATAGTTGTAAAATTACTCAAAAAATAACCCATAATTTAAACAGCCACCACTACTTCTATTATTATATCAAAAATAAATACTTAAATATATTGTAGAATGAATCTAAGCTTGATTAATATGAAAGAGGTAGCCTACTTATTTGATTTTAGGTATATCACAAGAAAAGACGTTTGATTTATGTAAATATAGTAACGCTAGAAATTGGTGGGAAATGTTGAGCAGACTCTATGCATGAGGTTGTAAAACTAGAGTCAAATTTCCTGATTGCAATTTTAATGCTTGTAAAGATTAACATTTTACAATTAAAATATTTGACAATCAGTAAACATATATTAATAGTGGTAGTGCCAGTAATTCCCAGAAGGGGATTGGGTATGTGGGTTTGTTTCTTTCTAAAATTCCCAGCAAAATACATGATTTGGAGTATGCCCTGTAAAAAGATCACAATCAACAGAAGTAAATGAAGAGCCCCAGGGAAGAACGATCTATGTCACTTTTTCAACGAACCCCAGTTAATGGCGCCATCTGGTAGCAAATTGTATAAGCTTTCTGTGGAACAAGAAATTTCAGGTAAAAATGATCGGAGTCACATCGAGCCAAGGCCCTTCTGAAATGGCCTCCTGGACAAATACGTCCATCGTACCCTTTATTTGACCTTAATGCTGCTGAATAGTGGAAGACAGATGTTGTACTAATAATTATGATTTGTATTAAACATCATTTTGAAGTTGTAATTAAACCCACTCGTTGTTCATTTCGCGTCAAGCATTCTCGTCCAAAATTCTGTTTTGCCTTTTATGCGAAAAGAAAAAAATGTGACTTAGATCGTTCTTCCCCTGGACTCTTCAAATGTATCTTAGCATCCATCAGAAAGTGGTAAACTAGCTTATTGAGCATGAAAAGTAAATACCAGTATATTAATTTTTGAATTGACAGGTTGGACAGGAGAGGTACACACTGTGCGCCTCTTGCACGTCTCAATTTAAAAAAATCTGCTCCTCAAGTTGATACTAAAATTTGAAACCACATTTCAATAAAGTAAGTGTGCCTCAACCTTTGTGTCACAAACTAAAAATATGACAATCGACCCATTTCACTGACTTTTGTAAAGAAATAAAAAAAAACATGAGGCAGTTTTCATAATGTAAAAACAAAAATAATTTATAAGATAAAGTAGAAAAAAAAATATCACAAATATAAACATTTACTTAATGGGTACTTGCACAAAGCAAATAAAGTAATTTTTGGCAAGAATGCAGACAAGGTTATCAGTAATAAATACTTAAAACATACCTTTTCGAACGGTACATATAATTTAAAATTGTCTTTAGAAAGTTCAAAAAGCATTCTAAAAGTCTGGTATTAGCACTATGTAAGTGTTCATATTATTATATGTATGCCTACAGATAGTCCCTTTTAACAGAACATGAAGTTTTCATAAACAGCATAGAATTTCAACTAAAAACACTACAAAAATGTGTCTTTATGAGTTTACCATGGTTAAAGATATCATTCCTTTGAATTTTTAAAAAAGTTTTCATAGCATATGTTATTAACAATGATTACATTCCACAATCAATTCTTATGTTAAAAATAAACTAAAGGAATGCAAAACAAGAACTATTTCTATATTAAGGGGGAAGGCTACCCAAAAAGTTTTGTTCTGAAATTTTAAAGCTATTGAATTGAAAATGGTACCACAGAATCAGACCGAAAGTAATTTGAATTATCATTAATATTTCAAAAGTTATAAAAATATCTCTCCATAGACAAAATATTGTGGCGAGGCAAATGATTTAAACACCATTTTCCAAGAACCTATAAAAATGAAAGATAAAAACTCTTTGTCTGGTTTTAGGGTTATTATTAAAGAATATGCAGTCCTAAAATGAGATATTTATCATTATTAGTGCCAATATTTGTTGCCCTGGCAACCATTTTATTTTTTTTGATGTTAGTTTTCCCTTTTTCATTACATTTCCTAACTACTCATGTAATTTTCAATTCGATAGCTTTAATATTCCAGAAAACATTTTTGGGCAGCCTCACCCCTTAAATGCATCTATCAGAAGGGGAACAACTCTAGTTTACAATATAATAGCTATCTGAGATTAATATCAGTTATATATCTTACTAATATGAAACTAGGGTGAATACAGAATTATTTTGATATTGACAGACTCTATGTATACTAAATATAAAAGAATGAAAACAAGCCAACAGTGAGACTGATGTCCCCCACTGAAATCCCAAAATAAAGAGATGACACATATTAAATAATCGCACATTTATTTTTTTAAAAAGTATCAAGCAATCAAACTGATTATCAACTATACACTAAGTTTTATCACTCTCTATCAGATAGAATCACAGTTATCTTGTCCCAAATCATCGACCAATGAAATTACTTATCGCTCTGAAGGGAAAATGCTCATTCTTGAACTTGGTCAACGTATTGATGTGATAAAACTATACACCAAGTGTCCTCACTCTCACTTAATTGGAACTAAAGTTATCGTGTCCCAAAGCATCAACCAATCAAATTGCTTATCTCTGCTTACCCTAAGCAGAAAATTCTCATCTTCGAACTCCATCAAGGCACTGACCTAATAAACACCTACGCCAAGTGTGAACATACTAGCTCAATTAAAATGAGAGTTATTGTGTCCCAAAAAGTGTGATGGACAGACAGACAGACAGACCCATTTTAATAGTCCCCTACTTTCTTCGAAATATAAATAATAAATGATCCAAAATTTAATGCAATTACTAAATCATTTCACTCTTTCTGTGATAAATTTTAGAAATCTGTCGGCATAAACATCTGGGGGAACTGTAGAATGATCACGGCATCCAAATTTGATACTTTTCATTATGCGTCCACATTTCTGTCGATATTCGTAGAGGGTAAAAAAGTCAATGATTCCTAAAAAATAACGGTGATCTGGGCCGTCAATTATATGTAATCCATTTTTACAATTTGGCAGCAATCTTCTATTGGACATTTCAATCTGGTCTAGGTAGACTTTATCTACCAGTGATTTTGGAAATGTTATAACTCTTTGAGATTTGTTTTCTTCTGTTGGTGTTTTATTAGGCTGTTCTGGACCATCAGTATCATCATCAGGTTTGTCCTCGCTAGACTGAGATGTGTTGTGGGTTGGTGACTGAGATATGATATTGGACCTGAAAAACATTTAAAATATAATTTGAAGAAAGTTGTGATTAAAGATAATGCTCAAGGGCAAGGCAAAGTGACAAAAATTGTCACAACACCTGAAATAGGGGGGGGGGGGTACTCAAAAAGACAATCACAACAGCTTTAGTACCTGTGCTTTGGTATCTAAATGTGCTTGAGATGATACTGAACAATAAAAAATGAATGACTTTGGTATGTGTAACTTTAGAAAATATGAAACAAATATACCATTCAGCACTGCTCAGCTACAAGGCAAACAACACAACATGGAAAATCACAAAGTCTCACTAAGATGCCTGAATATATAAACTACAACCAACAAGACCACAAATTTTGAAAACTATCTTTGTTCAAGCCCACCAAGTCCATATAATCAAACTATTCTATTTTCTAATATTCCCCATTGTTCTTCAAAAGGCTACTCATAGACTCTTTGTATGGAGTACCATCCTAAACATCATCTGGATTCAATATAAAGGGTCTATATGGAAAATTGAAAATACAGCATCAAAATTTCCTTGAAACCACTTTTGTGTTGAGCTATTTTTGCTTTGAATACACATTGTTAACATTTCTATGACATTTCATTCACCCTTTGACACTTTGTGCCTGGAAGCATAAAGATACACTGACAATTCAACATTGGACATATGTATTTACTAAGTCTTATATTAAAATATTTTATTATAAATTGTATTCAATATTTATTCACACTCAGCACAGTGTTTAATCTATGTTAGATTCTACACTATTATTCCACTATTGAATGTGGAAACGTCCGACTAAATCATTGATTGGAAAATATATGATGTTTTGCAAACAGTACTCCACAGAAAAGATTTGCCTCACAAAAATTATGTTTAGGTAACAAATTCTATATCACCCCCACCCTCCAACCCCTAATACTTATTATTCTATCATAAATTTATAATAATTTATCCAAAATTTAGAAGCAAGTCTTTTTGGCAACATTTACCAACTCTTGACAATGGAAGCCATGATGGCTTAGATTTTGACAGTTCTGTTTTTATCAATATTTAGAACACTCCATATTATAGAAATATTGTCATTGCGACATTGTTTTCAAATTTATAGACAAAGAATAGAGAAAAATGATGGCATTATATTCTATTAATTAATGTCTTTGGCAAGTTGTGGGATTCAAACATATTGTCTAATATGTACTTAAATAAAAATGAGCGAATGAGTGACAGACTGTTACATAAATAAAAGAGTCATTATGTGGTAAACATTCAATTCTAGGTTGATAACATTGTGGGAAATTTCTCCGGTAAGTTTCCATTTTCCATATAAGGGTCGGTTTCGATGTCATTGGGCTAACTGACCAATCTCTTTAATTATTTACATCATATTTGACCAATTGGATAATTGAATGTCAAAACCCAAAGCTACAAAACAATCATATTTGTGAGAATTCGTCAGACAGCTGCTTGATTCCAGAAGGGAAAACACGTAGCAATTACTATCAGCAGACGGTGAGTCTGGCTGGCTAGGGTTTGAGAATGACTTTAGTATTGTAATCTATACTATGCTTGTAACTATGTATCCGGCTATGATATATATAATGTAAAAACAAACTGTTGCATTGTTATTCCTGATAAGACAAATGTCTTAACTAACTGAGATAGATAAGAAGAAGAAAATACACAACGTGAAGGGGAAGCAAAGACAATCACAAGGCTACTAAGATATTTAGTAAGAAAAGATGCATGGGTCATACGTAGGATGTTCTCCGCTCTCCACTTCACCTTAAGTGCTGCTTACGTCAATAAGTTCATGAATGATTTACTTTTTAATATTATCGAATCACGTAAATGACATACATGTATCATTTGTATTCTGATCGATATGAATTAATCTTATTCCGTAGTGGTTAAATTAAATATTTAAAAATTTGTATTTAAAATGAACACTTTGCTCATTGATATAAGCCTAATGTCAACGACATTTGAAATTGGAGAAGACACGTTTACGTTCATGAAATGGTGAAGTGTTTTACTACTAAACGGTATACGGCATGATCGTGTGTATGGTGATGTACAATCTGCATTAAGCAGCCACCCAAGGGAATTTTCACAACTGACCGCTTAACTGGAATGGCCTCTTAATAAAATCTTGGTGCTTTTTGTGCTGACATAAATTAAATATTACGCTTGGATGCATTGGAAGCGGTAAATTTGACCATCGCTGAATCTTCCACCGAACAAAAATTCTTTACTCAAATCTTGGACATAACTTAACGGGAGTGGCCTCTTACTAAAATCTCGGTGCTTTTTGTGCTGACATAAATTAAATATTACGCTTGGATGCATTGGAAGCGGTAAATTTGACCATCACTGAATCTTGCGCCGGACGAAAATTCTTTACTCAAATCTCTGACATAACTTCTGTAAACTTGTCATTTTGTACCAACCTTCGATTGTCTACCATTGTGGTGCATTCGATAATATTTATCCATTATTTTCCCATCACAAGTATTTAGTTCAATTCTTTTGTCGCTGTTATGGCTGATATTTTCAATCAACTAGGCTACTCCTTCTACATAACTCATCAAAAAATTATATTAAACGCAATTTTGAGATGCCAGTGTTTTTCTATTTCCTGAATACTCGGTTTAGGCAACCAAATGAATCATTTGCTTACAATGAAAACTCAACAGACAAATATTGAAGCTGTTGTTATGACAGACGTGTTCAAAAAATATAATTTATTTGCAATCTTCAAACTAATCCTTCATAAAAATAAAAGGTCAACTCCAAATAAATGCTTTTTTACATTAAGATTTCCAGCTTATTTTTGCTAGGATAATGCATACTTCACAAGGAAGCATAGTTGAAGGCTGGATTACTATGACTATCATATTGGTATATTCCTAGCAGAAAACAGCCCCAGGGTAAAGGCCACCAATATCATGGACAAACAGAGTCATAAGCTGTGTTGTTAAGGCCATATTTTTATTTAAAAAAATGAAAAATAAAAACAGGCTTATTAATTACCACAAATAGATATTTTATCCCGGTTACAGGAAGTAAATCCAAAATAAACCAGCGGCTGCCAGGCAGGATACGCCTACATTTTACAAGAGATGGATAGAGAATAAGCTAAACAAAAAGCGATTTTTCATACAATCAAGGGCCATAATTCAGGAAGTTATGATATCAAAAGGAACCAAGATCTTTGGGTTATAAACCTGTATTTCAAGTTTCATCAAAATCGAATAAAAATTGTGACCTGTAGAGTTTCCACAAACAAATTGTGGACGGACAGAGGCAATGACAAGATACGTCCACATAAAATTGAATGAATCGATGGGTTCATTTATCAAGTACAATACCCTGATAAATGACAATCATATATGATACTGGATAATCATACATTCCTATAAACAACAATTTGATGTGAATAGGTGTCATTTAGCCAAGAAGTGATCTTTTGACAAAATAAAAACACAAAAATAAAAACTTCCCTCCTGCATCAGATTTTTGTCAAGAATTGTCTGAGAGCCAGAATATTTTTTTTTTGTATAGCCTGAATTATGACAGCAGATATAGTTAGCTCTGTGAACTTGTCATATTATTTTAATGATAAAATGTTTCTTACTTCTGCATCCTTGAGATTAAATTTGATAAAGTTTCTTTTTGTTCATCAACATGTCGAATCTGTCGTCCAACCAACAAACTATAGTCTTGTACACCCAGTTCTTTCATAAATAATGTGTCTGCTTTCAGCTGTTCAATAAACCATTCTCCTTGTGTACCTGCCAATCAAGAAATAGAGTAACTAAGTTTAATAGACATTTAAGTATTCTTTTAAAATATTGTTATCCAGAGGCCAAATATATAAAACAGGTTGGGAGATTGGGATTGTGTGCTTTTGTGTTTTTTCTGATGATGATAAACAAATGAAATGAAATGGGGTTTAACGTCCTACTGTCCGAAACCAAATGGGCTAATGAAGACAGGCATACAACATACAGTGTGCTATGAGAGAGAGAAATAATGCCCAGAGAGTAGTGCTTTCAATTCCAACTGTCAAGGGTTTATTTACGTACACACCAACTTACCTAAATTCAGAGATTCATCTACAAAATTTTGATCTTTATAAACTGTTACAATTGTGCTTCCAGGAGGGCGGGGCTGAAACAGCAGGAAATCAACATGTCATGTAGAATGGAAAACTATGTTACTTTGCCCGTTGGGCTATTTAGAAATTCAATTAGTGATTCATTTTTCGTTCCGAACTATTAAGCCCAAGTTTCAGGTCTGTATCTAACCTAAAAATGTTTGGGGGGAGGGCCCGATGAACCAGCACTTTAAGGTCCACGGCGAACAAGTCTAGGTTGCGACTTGTTTCAATTTTGAAGATTATCATGCCTGGCGCGGGCTTGAATCAATCTCATCCCCATTGAATTTTAATCTACAATCTTCAGTTGCCTTTCTTATGGTAGAGTTCGTCTTGGGCGGCTCACCAATCTCGGCATTATGGGCGCCCCTCTGGGATGAGACACCCCACCAATCATGCAGTTTTGGGCACCCCACTGATCAAGTTGTGAGCGCCCAACCAATCTCACTTGGCATTATACATTATGTGCGGCCCAACAATCATATATTGTTATTAGAAGGCGCCCCACTAATCACGTCATTATGGGCACCCCTCCAGGTTAAGGCACCCCACAGATCACACCGTTTTAGACGCCCCATCAATCAAGTTGTGGTGTTAATCATGTGATTTATTATGAGGTGCCTCACCATTTCGGTTATAGATTCTCATAAAACAAATCTGTACATAAAAATTAATCAAAATGACAATTTTGTTATTTATACAAATGAAAGAGTTCAGATATATCTATTTAAATTACCTTATTTGAGAAGCTTTAAAAATTTCACAATAATTGTGACTCCCCCAGCGTTAACATGGTTTCCTAACTAAAGGGGGAGTATTAAAGATTTGTCATAAAAATAATGACTCAATTTTTATTTCACCTAGGAGCCTGAATTTGTTTGTTACACTAATTTACATCAATTTTCAATTGCTCTTGTCTCAAAATGAATTATATGTTGAATACAAAATTGGAAGCTAAATACCAGCCATTCTTTCTTTAAGATAAATTCATATGCCACATACCTATTTAAAGGTCTTTACATACAGAAGTTAAATTTACGTTTAGCTGTATTTTGACCCATGTGTCTCATTTAGACGCATTTGATTACAAAGGATGTAACCACAAGAAATGAAATGGAATGGGGTTCAACGTCTTACTGTTCTGTTCCGGCTGGGCTAATGGAGACAGAGTGTAACAACAAAAAAGTAATAAAGAAGCCACTGAGAGAGAATTATGGTTGGATGGAGGTATTATGGATGGCTTGATTGTTGTCGTCATTCAGGAGATAATTGGATTACTGATTAGTTTTGGTAATAATGATAATTACCTTTTGATATCGACCAGCTAAACAACCTTTGATATCAAATCTGTCTTCAATTCGATGACTTGGATAGAATATACTCTGCATCACTAGAAAATATTTCTACAAAACCAGATGAATGAATACTACACAAAATAATTAACAATCAAACTGAAGTTCAGTGTAAAGGTATCAACTGACACCTCATTCTCTATCTATACAAGTTTCGTTTAGTCAGTATATTGTGTCCTCCATTTAACAAGCTCTACATTACATGTACATTTGGGAGTGACTTGAATACTCACTCCAGGAGAAACTGGGGCTCCGAAAATATTTAATCCAAACAGGTTTTTAAGTCTGTGTAACTAGTTCACAACTTGAAGGAGCATTCACGTCAAATATCATGCAGCTATCTGTTCATAGTCAGCTATATTTAAAATGGATTCTAAAAAATACTATTTGCCTTACCTTCTGATTACCAGGTAGATTAATGGAATATAAACCCAGAAATTTTACTATCAAAGAATGTGGATATGTTAAAAAATGATTCAAATAATCTCTGAAAAATAAACCAAAAGAAAATATGCAATCAGACAATAGCAGCTACATGTACCTTACATAAATGAACACATATGGACAGCATCATGCATGTAAATCATACAGACATGACTGCTCAAACAGCCAGTGCAATGTAGGTGTGTGATTCTGTATTTATATTATTTCAATACAGTCACTGGATTGAAGAATGTATAACATATGTACTGCTTTATCTGTTAACAGTTGATGACAGTTACTCTCACAATGTCACAGTTGATGTTAATTTGTTACTGGTAATTAAAATTGACACAATTTTTAGTTTTCGTTGCTAATGGTTAAAACTAATTCAATAGCTAGATTATAAATAAAATATATAAATGATTATGCAATGGCTGGTCTTCTCCTTTAAGTCTTCCCATGTATAACTTATTTGCTCTATTACATGACATCATTAATGACTCACCCTAATATGGAAATAAAATAATCTATCCAGTATTTTTTATCTGTTTTAAATATATACTGCATATCGTTCCTGAAATATAATGATATTAAATAATACTAAAACCTTTAATATAAAATAATAATGATGATATTTAATTTTATGTCAAGTGAACATATCTCCAGACAGTTAAATATGAAAATAGATATAAATTTCTCCTTGGCAACTTGTTATCGTTAGATATAAAACATTCTCATCTAAATCTGATAATATTTCATTACAAATATTGCTTTTAATTTCATAGGTTTCTATTTCTTTGATGTTTTTGTTTAAAAAATGATTCCATGGGCATAAGTTTTCTCCAGGAGAACAAATGAATTACTATGATCAATTTTGTTTGATATTTATATCATATTTCAAACACACTTCAAAAGTCTGTGATTGTGTCTTGTCAGCAGAATAAATCTATAACATATTGGCTAAAGAAAGCCTGTAAGTCAGGTTTTACTTAGAAACTGCAATCGAACTGTGCATTTTAAAGCCCGATTTATTTATTGAAAACAAAGAGTTATCTCTCACATTGAAAATAGAGCTAAATAAACTGATGTAGCATTCTATCAATTTGGATATCAGGTTGTCAAACACCCTCCGTGTACATATAAGGATACTTACGTTAGATAGAAATCCTGTCCACTCTTTGAATTGCTCACAAATTCCAAATAAGGTAACATAGGAGGAGCCACTGAATTCAAATAATTCTCTTCACTTAGGTTTATGGCTTGACGAACAGCTGCAAACACTGAACTGGCATAACTTTCAAACATAAACTCCTTGAAAAAAGAATAATGTCTTGTCAACAAAGCTCTTGAGACTAACACACATTTATTTCCCAGTTGTCATGTGCACAATGCAAGGGAGGATAATTTCCCCAGAGAGTGGCATTTCCACCAGTTCTTATCAAATCTTAACAGTCAAGGATTCAATTATCTTGAATCTATCATATTGGATATTCTTGCAGCATGCTCCATTCTGTGTCTAAAAATTTAGCGGTTGTCAGGTTTGGGAAATGTAATAACCAGTTCCATTTTGTATCTAAACTGACAGGAAAGGGCTCTAAATCTCATCTACAGTGATACAAATTTGAAAATAATCTTGGGGAGGGGTCCTGGGCCCCTTGCTTGCAGGGCCTCTGGTGACCTGTCCTATATTCTGCCTCTTGATTTCAGAATGTTTTCATTTCAATTATCCATCCAGTGTTTTACTGTGCATCTGTTTAAAACTGTTTCATCATCCGACTGATAACATCTAGAATTTTTTGTGCATCTTCAAGGAATACTGATCTATTTTTAATGATGCTGGAGTTATCAATAATGAGAGCATCCAGAATATGTAACACCACAAGAGATATTATTAGCTAATATCAACTGCTTCAATTGCCACATGTACACTGTGTACAGAAGACTATTAAAATCAATAGAAAATAATGATACTTTCAAAAGGCCATAACTGAATTAAGAACTGGTGGAAAGGGACATCTTCAGATTAATTTGTGTATGATTTCAGTCACTTAGACTACTTTAATAAAGTAATGTGGCACCATTAATGCTTATACTGAAATTAAAATTTTTATGTACCAGAAAATTAACAATCATTTCCTCATCTAAATTTACAACAATCAGGATAAAAACTTGATTGAAGCCAGTGTTTATCATAGCCAGTGTTTATTATAGACAGTGATTATTATAGACAGTGATTATTATAGACAGTATTTATTGTGTTTATTATAACCAATGTTTATTATAAAACAGTTACACATACTTCATTCAAATCAATTCATAATTAATTGAGATGAAATGAAATGGGGTTTAACGTCCTACTGTTTTGCTCCGAACTGGGCTAATGAAGACGGGCATACGCCATACAGTGTGCTATGAGGGAAATTTTTGCCCGGACAGCGGCACTACGGCCTACTCTTACATCGAATTCCAGGCATTTCCGTTCAAAGTTGCAAATATAGACCTGCCATAAAAACAATTTTCCCATTTGTCTAAAACAATCTCAATGTGTACCAAACACAATGACATCACATTGACTAACGTTTATTGAGAGTGTGTAGTCCTTTACAACTACATACATTCAAATTACACAAATCAGTTGATGGGGGTGTGAACCCATTTACACTTGAATAATTACTCAATCCTCTATATATCTAGTGTAATAAGATAAAACAATTAACTACAGAATAATTTTTTTTTATATGAAATCAGCGAGACAACACAGTATAGCTTACTAAATGAGCAGCTTAATTCTAGATCATATTAAGAATTTGTCATAAATATGCCAGAACCAAGACAGTTGCCATGGCCTTTTTGATCAGAGAGAGAGACAGAGAGAAAGAGAGAGAGAGAGATGGGGTTTAAGTCCACTTGACACAAACTAGGTCATTTTGGGACTAAATTTTATTTCAATTATTAGCTTGCGCGTAGGGTTCTTTAGCAGTGGGAGAAAACCAGAGGACCCAGAGAAAACCCACGAGGTTGGACAGGCAACCCTACTCATTGTCACGTACAACCAGGAAATCGAAACCACGTCAGTTGACTCAATGACAGACATTATGATACAACCCTAGCCAATTGGTCTCCCCTCACCCCACCCCACCCCACCCCTCCTTACAATAAAAGGTTCCTGCTTAAAACAACTAGAAGGGTGGGAAATTGTTATTGATTTCGCAAATATAAACAGTAATGAAGTGACTATAAATAATGTTGGGTTTTATGAAACAAAATGTTTTCCAGTATTATTAACATACATGTATAAATTTAGATCATCAATATGTTTTATTTTGTCTGCTTCCATTGATATGGTACTTCTTAAAATGAAGAGATTGAAATGTGAAATAGCTGCAATAACTGTAATATGACAAGAGACAAAGAAGGCTAGATGTTGGGTTTGACAAAAAAAAGTGGGTGCGACACTGACCCAGGGGGGCGGGACATGCACCAAAATCAATAGTTGCCGTCCTTAGGCTATAAGGAATACATATGCAGAGATTCAAGCTGATCCATTCAGAATTGCGGCCTGTATACAATAAACACAAAAATTGAGCGTGGCTCTGCCCCTGGGGGTCGGGACATACACCAAAATCAATAGTTGCCGTCTTTAGGCTATAAGGAATACATATGCCAAGATCCAAACTGATCCATTCAGAATTGCGGCCTGTATACGATAAACACAAAAATTTTGAGCATGGCTCTGCCCCTGGGGGTCGGGACATGCACCAAAATCAATTGTTGCTGTCCTTAGGCTACAAGGAATACATATGCCAAGTTCCAAGATGATCCATTAAGAATTGTGGCCTGTAGGCAACACACAGACACACAAAGGTACAATACCAAGGTACTTAGGCATAACCTTCAATTTGGGGAAGATATCACCAAAAACATATGGAAACTGAAAGCTCAATGACTCCGAAAAAGATTTCTAGAATTTCCCACACAGTGGAATGACTCCTTAATGAAATCAGGGTTGCATATATATAATACTTTTTTTTTCAGGCTTGCAATAATTTCTTGTTTTACACTACTTTGCATCTAATTATTATTATGGTACTTTCAATTTTAATTAAAAAGCCCAGCAAATGTATATTCAGATTAGATAAGTCTGATCATAAAATGAATAAAATATATACATAAATAAACCTGCAGGTGTAAAATATTGTCATTTGTTAAACATCATGATTAATAAATACATGTAACATATGTTGAAAGTTAATCTAAATATTGAGATGTTATCTTTTGTCACATCAGCTCTATAAACTAACTTGTAATATGTACATGTAATACTATATTGATACTAGAACTGCGACGCAGTAATGACGGGTTTCGCCGGTGCCATGTCACCCTTCAACCTATGTCACTATCAGTACCAATGAAACCATTAAACAGGTTTCCACATAAGCATTGCACACATCAAATAAAATGGACGCAGAATCAATCAAATCCAGCAATATCAATTCATTTTATACATTTGTTACATGTAAGTGTACAGTACTTCCGGTGATAATGAAAATGTTCAATTAGTTTTATGAAATCAGAAATGGCAAAAGGCATCACATGGTGAAAATTTTATGTAAATCGAATAATAATTGCCACTTTTATAGACCAAAAACCTTGAAAAGTGACTTGTAGAAAATCGTCTATTTCTCTGCAACCTTACAAGTTAGAAACCATTTTTTGGTATCTGTATGATCGTGGGGGTTCAATCTATTTGTTAATTGGAATATCATAATTCTAAAAACATTACAAATCAGACTCATTTGAATAAAATATCTGTTTTGAAGGCTAAAAATACAGTTTTTGCCAAAATGACGTTACTTCAGGTGATATTGAAATCTTTAATTACTTGTATGAAATCGTAAATGGCATTAAGTATCACACATTGAAAATATTATGAAAATCGAATAATAATTGACACTTATATGGACCAAAAACCTTGAAAAGTGACCTGTTAAAAACCATTTTGTGATATCTATATGATCGTATGGGTTCGTTCTATTAGTTGATTGGAATCAAATTTCAAAATTTAAAAAAAAATAACAAATACGACTCATTTAACTATATTATTGGTTTTGAAGGCTATAAATACAGTTTTTGCCAAAATTACGTCATTTCCATTGACACTGAAAATGTTAAATTGGTTTGACCTAATTAAAGTTGACATTACGCATCAAATGGTGTCATTTTTATGAAAATCCAATAATAATCGGCTCTTTTACAGGCAAAATAGAGTAAAAAGTGACTTAGGCAAAATTGACCATTTCTCGGCAAATACTTATATTACAAACTAATTTTGACATAGATTCTCTTCGTATGGATTAATGCTACAAGTTTATGAAAGTTGCGAAGAAATATTTTGAAATATGAAAAGCCTGAATGGGTTGTAAATAGCTCATTTTTACACCTTTAAATCGAAATGGCGCAAATACAAAACCAAAATTAAAAAAAGCGAGTCTTATTTCTGTGGTTTTGAGTGCAATGCAAGGAGGGGAATTCTCCCTGGGCAACAACATTTCTGCTTACTCTTCAAAGAATTCCAACTTCCAACCAAGGGATGTAACACGTCACATAGTAAAATAGAGGTTATACCCCACAAATGGTTTTAAAAATATGTAACTATGTTGAAAATTTGATGCACATCCTGCTTGTAAAAATAAAGTGCTTAGTAGACACACTTTCCTTGTCAGAACAACAGGTGCTACTTGTACTTGACTGACTGACAGGTGGGATAAATGATTTTCATCTTTGAAATTTGGATAAATACATACCGAAGGCTACAGCTTAAAACATGATTAGTTTATGCTATTTTTAATGCTCACACATACTGTATACAACAGAGAAGGCCAATAAGAATTTTCATTTTTTACAAGATCAAAAACAAAAGTTTTAGGACAGATTATAGTTTCTCGGCCTTGACGTTAGATATAAAATGCAAATAGATAAAAATGAATTTAACGATATGTGTGCTATGAGGGAAATTTTGACTAGACTGCAAATTTCAACTGTCAGATATTTTTACATGCATGCCAACAAGTACATGTGTCATGTACCCTTGGATTTTCATACCATATGAACAATTAGATGCTGTTCCTTGTCAGAAATAAAATGAAATGGGGTTTAACGTGTAATGCTCCGTCTGGGCTAATGAAGACAGCCATATGCCATACAGTGTGCTATGAGGGAAATTTTGCATTTCAACTGCCAGGGGATCTTTTACCGCACAGCCCATACTTTTTGCCGAAATTTGTTTCACTTGATTGCACAAAAACACATGAGTTTAACAACTTCACAAGCTTTTTGCATGAAACCCAAATCTAAGGCCTTTAAAATCCCAGGGTTCTCGGTTTCAAAATCAGTTGCACTATCGGTCGGTTACAAGCAGGTAAATCCCAGACAGATGTAGCCAGGCTGCTGAATGTTTCCCAGAGTATCATTTCTTGACTTTGGGATAGGTACCAACAGCGAGGTTCATCATGTGACCGCCCAAGCTGAGGGCAAACAAGAGTGACCCTATCTGCCTTGGATCGTCACATCCGGTTATGTTATTTGCAGAAACGGTTCACAACAGTGACCTCTACAGCAGCAGCAATTCCTGGACGGGTCTCAGACCAGACAGTCCATAGACGCCTACGTGAAACCGTATTACGAGCCAGTCGTACCGTTAGAACTGTTGTTTTGAACTACTCCGACACCGTCAAATCCGATTCAATGGGTTCAGACACACAGGGTATAATGGCCACAGCAACGCTGTTGAACAGTTTGGTTCAGGGACGAGTCGCGGTTCCTGTTGCAACAAGGCGAAGGTAGAGCTAGGGTAAACCGACCAAAAAATGTCACTATGCGTTTCTTTTTTTTTGGAAGAGTATATATGTCAAGTCTACATGTTCTCAAGCTATGTGTATTGTCGTAATATTTACACAATTTTTAAATGGGAATTACTATGCAAATAATTGAAAAACTTTCATCACATTGAATCTACCCTGAGATCTTATAAATAAAAAGTCACATACTATAACTAAGTTTCATTAAAATAAGATGAAAAACTGTAGACATCTAAGCATTCACAGGCTATTTTTCATATATTTTCCACACTGGAAATGAAATCTCATCAATATAAAGTCATATACAAACCGACAATTCTTGGTAAATAATGGATGAAACGACTTAATAAATTCAAGAGTTTAAAAAAAAAACTGCCAGGTAATATAAACTTCGAATTGCTATATCATAAGTATGGATAAGTAGATAAGTAGTCTTTAGACCAGATAAAGAGTACTTTTGATTTGGTAATAAATGCTGTATATGGCTTTTGTTCTTGCGAGTTGTTCCTTTAATAATTATTATCATGTATTGTATCCAACATGAAACAACAGATCACCATTACAAGACTACATGATTTCAATGAATCATCAAATATCTATTAGTAGATCCAATATCAAGTTTTATACGTCCACATTTCATGAGATTTTAAAGTTTTACATTAATGGTACATTATTCAAGAGCTAAATTTGCCTATTGCAGGTCTTTCTTTAGGTATTAAATGGTATATAAATTATTTATTAGACATTTATTAAAATGACAAGACCATAATCAACTCTCGATGCCATCAGATACTCAACATTTTAACTAGATTAGAACGTTTCAGCCATTTAATGATTTAATTTAAAATGGCGAAGCGAGGCTAAGATATACCAGTACTGTGGTTATGATAATACACAATCAATGCATACATCTTGTTTAAACTACAAACAGAGATAACTTGGCTTAGGATAATATAATTTGTATGAAAATTTCAATATATTCAATTTGCTATTATCTATTTCTGAACTATTATAGCAAGAACGACCAGCTGTTTATCTAAAACTTACATAATGCATCTTTAATATTAATATTTGGTTAGTCACTGATAATATAATATTGTCTAATCTGTCTGCAATTTTTTTAAATGTTCTACAGTTTTCAAGATATTTATTTTGGCAAGATAGTCTAAAAGAAGAATCCGAATGAACTATATTTTGAATAGTAACTTCCCCTGTCACTAAATCACTAAAACATTGAAATGTCTTAATGGTAGAATTTTTTTTAAATCTTCTTTTAAAGCTTGCCAAAATTGTTCAACTTGTTATAAAGAGAAATCGAATCAAAATTCAGAGCAGTTACATGTAGTTATTTATCCTAACCCACAAACAGTCGCCCTTCAAAATTAAAATGTAACATGTAATGGCTAGTAATTCTTGTATTTTATTCTATAATTCACACCTAAACAAATCAAAATTTAAAAGCCAATTTCATTGTTTGATATTTGAAATGATAGAGTTTATTCTTATTACAATGATGTAAATAATGAAAATATCATGTCTGTATGTAATTGTAGTACATACAGATGTAAATAAAATCTACATACACATGTATTCAAAAATGTTAAAACTAGTGGTAGTACATGTGTACTATATATAATCTGCAGAAAATTTAAAGGCATACAGATTCACACCACATGACTTGTCAATCAAATCAAAATTATATAAATATTTCATTCCGTTTCATTTATCGGTTGTTTACTCAAGTTCATCTTGTTCTAAAGCCATATTCAGTAATGCTCACAGGTTGTGTGATTGGTCAAATCCAGATCAACCTACCAATTACAAATATGTGATACCGAAAATTTTACGAAAATTCTTGAAAGGCTTTGTATATCCAGAAATTTGATAACCTTTTTTACTTAAAATGCTTTTAGATAATGTGTCCAGATATAAAAGTCAAAAGTATGGTACCTACCTTTCCATCTTCCGTTGTAATTTTCTGAGCTACGATGTGTCTATAATCCTCTTCCTTTAAATCTTCCTGTAACAGATGTCATCAGATATTGTAGGATACTATATTCTTAACATATCAAAAGTGTTGAATTAGTTACTAATACTTGAGTCTTTATACCCAAATGGAAATTAACGAAAAGTAAAATCTACCTAAACCGCAAAATCTACATAAAACACTTGCATTTACGTCAAAATAATATTGTTTTTTTTCAATTCTATACTATTAAATTATCATTTTAGAAAGAAAAAAGATGTATTATATGCAAGATGCAGATAAAGAGTTGACCATTCACGCTATAATAGTTCAAAAATAGATAATGAAAATTGAAGACAATAAAAAAGAAAGTCTTGATTTTCCATTTTAATGTTATATGGTGTGTATGTTCTAATACAGTTAATATCCAAGCAATGCGATGGTACAGAGTAGATTATGGGCTTGTCATTATTATCTAAATAATAATTTATCATTTGAAGCCAGAAAAAAGACCTGCAATAGAGACAATAGGATCCTTACTTAATTGATTAGCTCTGTTTAGCTTTAGCTCGAAATTTTAATCATTGAACTCAGTCAAGACATTCACCTAATGAACATCAACATCAAGTTTTAACATTCTACCTCAATTAAAAGCAGAGTTGTTATGTTCCAAAGTCTTGACAAATCAAATTGCTCACCGATCCTTAGCCTAAGCAGAAAATTCTCATCATCAAGGTAATGATATAATGAATCTATACTCAGAGTTTCATAACTCTCACTTAATTAAAACCAAAGTTATTGGCCCTAAAGCATCAACCAATCAAATTGCATATCTCTGCTTACCCTAAGCAGGAAATGCTCATCTTCGAAATCCATCAAGGCATTCACCTAATAAACATCTACACCAAGTTTGAACATTCTATCTCAATTAGAAGGAGAGTTATTGTGTTCCAAAGTCTCGGCCAATCAAACAACTTTTTTATCATTGGTTAGCTAACCGCGGGAAAATTTACAGTTACTATTGGCTGACAGCATGCATGCACGAATCAAACAATCTTATTTGCATATTGCATACTTTATAGTAGTATGGCTGAATCGATAACCTCAACAACCAACATGTATTTCCTTTTATTAGTGTGCTACTGAGTTTGCCATAATATACAATAAGAATAAGGAATAGTTTCACGTTGACAAAAATATTTACTTCCCATTAGATACAATAAAAATAAGGAATATTTACTTGACGCATCATTTTGCCAGCACCGAGAATCAAATTTAGCGGTGTTTTTCAGCAGGTCAGAAACAAAATTCCCATTTAACAAATATTCGAGGATTGGTTTACATGGGCATTATTTGCAGTTTGGGGGGCCGCTTTTGACAAATATGTAAAATATGACGAGAGCGATTTTATCCTCAGAGGAGAGCGATAAAAAGCTCTTCATTTTTTACGTTTGCACGAGCCGAGAAGAGCGTCAAACATGAAGCACTGGATGTGTTTTTGCAAAAGCTAATTACTTTCTAACAAAGAACCAGGAAGATGAATGCTCCTGACAGTGAATCCTTCTCGTTTGTTCTACAACGCTTTAATCAAAATAAGTTTCACCCTTGAGTAGGAAGCTTAACAGTATACTATTCAAACTATTTTGCTTTCTCTTAATCAAAGGAGTTGTATACGTGCATTTTAAAGAATGAATATTTACGGTATAAAGTATCAAAAACATCTTAAATATGAAATATCCTCACATATATTATGTACATGTACATTATGATCGCACTAATCTACATACATGTGTAATAGACATTTCTTAAATATACATTATGCAAGAACGAAATCTGCCTACTGCAGGTCTTTCTTTAGACCTGAAATGTTGTATAAACTAATATAAACCTGTAACGGTAAATATTATTAAAGATAGGTTGCCAGGCAATGAAACATACATCCACAGCAGCTAAATCGTCCGGGCAGTCAACAAGAGTTGTCGCATATTTTTACTTTTTTCGGTAATGAAACATTTATAATACATTAAAATCTGATTAAGAGTAACAACCCATTAAGTAATTATCAGAAAACCATCAGAATTTATTTGGGTTTGATAAAGTTCTGCCCCATGCTAATGTTTAGTATACAATACTTTTAACATCATGGATTTACACTGTAAATCAGGTAAAATTTAATCTTGTGTATCTACACTAATTTCTTTCACATTCGTTGAATATCAAATCTTTGTTTAAAAATTCGTAAAAATCGTTTAAAATAACCAAAAATCATCTAATTTGTACTTGTGTCCAGTTTAAAGCTGACTGATTAATTTTGATAATAGGTGTCCAATTTACAAGTATTTAATTTCCTGACCACTGTTCAAAAATTAATCATTATACATCATTAATCAATTGGGTTGTTTATTTTTTAACAGTGATTGAGAAATTAAACACTTGTGAATTGGGACACTCATTATCAAAATTGAATGGTCAGCTTTAAACTTGACAGAAGTACAAATTAAACGATTTATGGTGATTTTAAACAGTTTTTACGAATTTTTAAACAAAGATTGGATATTAAACGAATGTGAAAGAAATTAGTGCTAGATACATAAGATTAAATGATACCTGGTTTACAGTGTTAGCTGTTCAAATCCTAAAAATTCATTGAAAATCAATATACTTGTTTGTCTCAAGACCTTAAACTCTGTGTATCAATCTGAAGTCAATGGGATGATAACTTTAGCCTGTAGAGCGTCCACAAGATTTTTGAAGTGATCAAGGGCTATTACTTTGGTAGTAATTATCGAAAATCGTTGAAAATCAATATGATTCTTCGTCTTATGACGTCAAACACTGTGTATAAATTTAAAGTCAATCGGATATTAACTTTAGCCTCTAGAGCATTTACAAGGTTTTTTTGAAGTGATCAAGGACCATAACTCTGGCAGTAATTATCGGAAATCGCTGAAAACCTTAAACACAATGTATAAATTTAAAGTCAATCGGATATTAACTTTAACCTCTAGAGCGACGACAAGATTTTTCAAAGTGATCAAGGGCCATAACTCTGGCAGTTATTTTCGGAAATCGCTGAAAATCAATAAGCTTCTTTGTCTAATGACCTTTAACACTGTGTATAAATTCAAAGTCAATCAGATATTAACTTTAGCCTCTAGAGCGTTCACAAGATTTTTTGAAGTGATCAAGGGCGATAACTCTGGCAGTAATTATCGGAAATCGCTGAAAATCAATAGGCTACTTCGTCTCATGACCTTAAACACTGTGTATAAATTTAAAGTCAATCGGATATTAACTTTGTGGACGCCGGACCGACCGACAGACAGGGGGGCGACGCCAATATACGACCACATTTCAATGTGGGCGTATAAAAATGAGTATTTCTCAGCTAAGAGTGAAGTAATTTGACTGAAATTTTTAGCATATATTCCTGTTACATGATCTATTATTTAACTATTATATCGAGAACTGTCAGCTCTTTATCTAATCTTCCATAATGTACATGTATCTATAAGAAAAATAATTTATAATAGCCAGAAATGATATTATTAGTGTAGTTAAGTTGAAAAAAAATATTTGATTTATATTATATATTATTTCTCTCTGATTCATGAGGAGTCATATTCAGGGCACTCAACCAGCAATGTGTTTTAATATCTATTTCAAATTATGTCTAAATACAGGTATAAACACTATGAAACTTGCTACAACAGGGGCAAGTGCACCACATACAAATTACATGTAGAACATAAACAAGGGCATATAAAATCAGTTTCACATAGGATTACGACAGTGTTCTAATATCTCTGTAAAAGATGACTACCTTTAACACAGGATGTCTCATCACGCGGCATCAATCATTGGGTCAATGGCGTGTGCATTGTGTATATAAGACATTCTAGTTCGGGCAGAATGGAGACTTTTACTCATTTTAATACCTATTTGCAATAAATAGGAAATAATTTTTACCTACAAATCCGTCAAACGCCTTAATTTATTTTTCTAATACATAAAAAAAATGGTTTAGAATTTAATTTGTTGCAGGAAAAAAAGTTAATATTTCTGGCTTATTAAGCACATCGATGTCATCCTTATCAGTAATTATAGCGGCCTTGCGAAAATTCACTGCTGATCAGTGTGGGGCATATCAGGCACCCATATACATGTATGCTCACCATCAGCAAATTTGTCTATAAACATGGTGGAGAAAACTTGGGGATTTGCCATGAAAGAAATTCTGAATTTCGATAAGTTTCTTCCTAATGACCAAATGCACAATTGCAAAGCGAGAACAGAAATCAACAACTGCTGAATATTGATAGAGTTTGTCTTCTAATGCCAAATTTCAAAGGAATCCATTAAAAACTGTTGTGCTCAGAAGGTTTTTGGCAAAGGGGATAACTCTGGAAAAGGGTTTGTCTTCTCATTACCCCAATCCAACATTTTCCACCAAAACAAAGATACCACTCAAAGCGAGAACGGAAAGTCGCAAATGCTGAATATTGATAGAGTTTGTAAGTCTAATGACAACAGTGCTTCACACCAAACTTGAAAGGAATCCATTAAAAACTATAGCCTCTATTGTGCTCAGAAGGTTTTCGATAAACAGGGTAAGTCTGGAAAAGAAGATCAGATACCGGTACAAATGAATTGAATATCAATAGGTTTATCCTCTTATGACCCCAACATTTTCAACTAAATTTGAAAAGAATCCGTTAAAAACTGTAACCTCTACACATATATATAGCATTCACAAGATGGAGGATAGTTTTGGGTCATCGTTCAGTTTTGCCGCTGAATGTTTATTTTACCGCACGATGTTAGATTCGCTGAACGGCATTTAAAAATACTGTAATAAGTGTTAGTTTTAGTACTGACCTGTTGCGATATGGTGAAATATTTTTCAGGATTCATACGACGACTGGTATCTGTATGCCATATTTTTATGCGCGAATATCGACAGGAACCGAGATCTTTGGGTTATAAACTTACATTTCAAGTTTCAACAAAATCGGATAAAAATTGTGACCTCTATAGAGTCCACAAGCTGAAAATATGGGCATATAAAATCTCTAGATATAGCATTCAGACATAAAAATAGTTGTATCTTAGTATTGAATCAAACTGCATTTCATTCAATTCTTCAAAGATAGGTTGCCAGGCAATGAAACATATGCCCTCAGCAGCTAATTCGTCCAAGCAATTGATAAGGGTTGTCTGACAAGTTTTGTCGAATATTTATTCTTTTGCAGGTAATTTCAAACAGATCTGATTATGAAGGTTCACAAGGTTCTACAAACTGAAACAATGGCCTTAACTCTGGAAGTAATTCACAGAAATTGTTGAAATTTGCCAGGCTTTGTCAAATAATGCATATAAATTTCATATAAATCGAATGATAACTTTTGTCTTTCCAATGTTTACAACATGGTTCAATAAAGTAAAACAAGGGCCATAACTCTAGAAGTACTTGATGGAAATTGCTGGTATTAAATCAGATTTTTTCATTTCACTAATTTAAATAATAGAATACAGACCATTTAATAAGTTTTGTTGTTCGAGAATTCACAAGGTCCAACAAAGTGAAACATGGGCCATAACTCTAGAAGTAAATAATGGACTTTGCAGAAATTCAATCGGCTTATTCGTTCCACTAATTTAAATAATACACATAAATTTCATATACAATCTGATTTTAACTTTTGTCATTCGAGCATTCACAAAGTTCAACAAAGTGAAACAAGGGCCATTACTCTAGAAGCTGAAATTCAATAGGCTTCTTCGTTTCACTAATTTAAATAATGCATATAACTTTCATACAGATCAGATGATAAATTTTGTCGTAAGAGTGTTCACAAGGTTTAACAAAGTTAAATAAGGGGCATAACTCTAGACGTAATTAATGAAAATTGCTGAAATTCAATAAGCTTCTCAATTTCATAAATTTAAATGATGCATATAAATTTCATACAAATCGGGTGATTACAAAGTGAAACAAGGGTCACTATCAACATAATATCAATTTCAAATCAATCAATGACAAATGTAGCTGTTAGAGTGGATGACGGTCGTTTAAAAAGGCAATAATTTTTCACCTTTGGTCCTAGATCTGAATGCTCTAATAAAGTATCTCGTATTCCCTTCCTAATACACTCCAACATCTGATATCTATGGTGATCTATATCCACTTCGACAACACCTTTACGACTCATCCGTTTACGCAAACGTTTCCATGCACTGCTTCGTTGTTTGACTGTCGATGCTCGACTAGATTGGCTTGTTTTATCCATCTCTGTCATCTCCATGTTTCTGTTATTTTATTTTACGCCACTCAAAAGTACTTATGGCTGTAATAATAAATACATAAATGATTTGTAGAAATTGAAAGAAGCGATATATATGTACAGGCAATAATGTGGTCGGATAATTGATCTGAGAATTTTGTGGATTTTCAATGTAGATATGTGTTTGATTTGATCCAGAGCTTTCACTTAAAAATTTGGTCAGTTATTCAATTTTTACGGTATTGTGATTATCTCCCTTTAGCAAAATATTTTTTTCAAAGAATATGATGATTGTTCTTTTGTATTATGTAATTCTTTAATTATATATATTTATATTTATAAAAATATATATTTAACCGAATTTATTATGGTTTAGGGTTAAAGTTTTCTAGCCCTTCAATTTCACTGTTAATCAGTCAAATCTGCCATATACATGTACCTGTATGAATGAAACGGAAGCCTGACTTCTCTACTATACAAAAGATGATGTAGTTTAATTTACATACAATATATTATCATTGACATTGTAGTAAGTAGACATACATTATCTATATACTGGGTCATTCCATGTCAAGTGGACCAAATATATATATGTTATAGTACATGACCTTAAGCTAACAAGTCCAAAATTATACCTCTCCAGGTCAAAAACTTGTTGAGATATGGCCATTTGAAATTAGGGGACTGAAATGGACCATAAATTCAGTAATTTTTTTCTGGTTTTCGGATGCTTTAAACTTATATTTCTAATAGGTGTAGAACTCTCTAACTTTGTAATCTAAGACAACTTTTGGTGTAGATTACGAATTCAGCATCACACACAATATGCAGTTGACACAGTTCGTGCCACCAGGTGGCAAAATGTGGAACAAATGAACTATTCACCTTTTTTTCAGGATTTCCACAGCCTCTGACAAAGTCACTATTGTATACACAACCTTCAAAATTGGCATATAGTTAATGTCAGTTTGTCTTTTATCAATTTACAAAAGATTCTGAGTCGATGTGATATTTACTTTAACAAATATTCAGTCTCGAAATTCAATGCACACTGAAAACATACAAAATATCTCTATTTTTCCTTAAATTTTGGCCATGTGGGACAATGGTTAAAATTCTGAAAAAAGTTGATAATAAAACTTCAAATACCCTACTATAACATACATTAAAGTCCAACTTGTGTATTTGAAGGCTAATATTTTAAATTGGCAATTGAAATCTGTGCAGTGATGAAGTTTTAATGACTATTATCGAAATTGTTGACTTTTTATGTTAATTTTAAAATTATGCATAAATGACCTATACACCTCAAACGTGTCTATTTAGAGTAAATGTTTGCATAGACTTCGAATATGCAATCATTTTGGAAATACGCTTCACGAATTGGAATTTGGGTTTCGACAATCAGATTATAATTACTTCTGAAAGACTTAATACCTCTCATATTTGTCATTTAAGATCAACTCTTAACATAGAATAAGAATAAAGACTCTTTTGGGATCCAGGGAGTGTCGTTTCAATTTAGTTTTGCTTTAAAAACAGGTGAAAACTTGTTTTGTCTACTTAGAAAGTTGAAGTACCGTCAAGTACGGTACTTATGTAGTCTTGAAACTTTGCATACTTATTCCTTATACCCTAAAGATTGTATTGTGCTAATTTTGTTTTGCATCCCAAATGAGAAAAAAACAAGCCAGCAGTGAGGCTGATGTCCCCCGCCGAAATCCAAAAATAAATGGATGAATTAATGAATTAATTAATCATACATTTATTTTTTTTTCAAAAGTATAAGCAATCAAACTGACTATCAACTATACACTAAGTTTATTATTTCATCACTCTCATAGAATCAAAGTTATCTTGTCCCAAAGCATCAACCAATCAAATTGCTTATCTCTGCTTAACCTAAGCAGAAAATGCTCATCTTCGAACTCCATCAAGGCATTGACGTAATAAACACCTACACCAAGTTTGATCATTCTAGCTCAATTAGAAGGAGAGTTATATTGTGTCCCAAAAAGTGTGATGGACAGACAGACAGATGGACAGACTCATTTTAATAGTCCCCTAACAGGTGTATACAATAGTGACTTTGCCAGAGGCTATGGAAATCCTGAAAATAAAAGTGAATTTTAAAATATTTGTTCATTAGTTCCACATTTTGCCACATAGTGGCGTGAAAAGTATGCACTGGACATTAAGTGAGATGCTAAATTCGTAATCTACACTTAAAGTTGTCTTAGATTACAAAGTTAGAGAGTTTTACTCCTCTTAGAAATATGTGTTTAAAGTGCCTGAAAACCTGAAAAGAATTACTGAATTTATGATCCGTTTCAGCACTCTAATTTGAAATGGCCATATCTCAGCAGTTTTTTGTTTTGACCTAGAGAGGTAAAATTTTGGACTTATTAGTTTAGGGTCATACACTATGACAGATATCTTTTTATAACTTTTTTGGTGGCAGTCATGTACCCACCACTGATCCAAATCATATGGAATGACTCTATTGTTCTTAGATGTATGATAAAGATGGAAATTAAAATAAATTGTTATGAAATTTATGAGCACAACTTTAATAGTGCTCAAACAAATATTTTATTCAAACATAGATTTTGTTATCTGTTATTTAATGTCAATGAAAACTAATGGAATTTATAAATGTTCTGTCACCAATAGGAAATATGTAATGTATCAATTCAATGAACTTATATAACTAATATTCAGAAATATCATGATTTAAAAGATTCACAATTTCTAAAAATGTGAAAACGTGAAGCCAGGATGTGATTTGAAAAGTTATAATAATCCATCAATCTCTTCTGAATCCAAGGACTGTGTTAATTACACATTATGATATTGAGTATTAAAATCATAATTTTAGGAATTAACAAGTTACATATAATTTCTTTATTATAAATACAAATTGTGACAGGCCACTCTGAAGCCTCAATGTGCCAGAAGCCCAATAATACCATTGAAAGTAATGGGAACATGGACATGTACATGTAACTTCTGTTAAGATTGGTCGATATGGTACCAATATGTTTTTAGGTAAAATTGTTTTTTTGCGTATGACTTGGAAGTTTATTAATACATAGTATAGTTGTAGCAATTTTGCCTTTAAGTCTGGAATATTGTAGTCCCTTAAGTAAACACGCTAAGTACATGTATAACGAAGATCCCCAAGGTCTGCAATAACTTTATAAACTGTATAGATATCTATACATTAGTAGTAACAGGGAATCAGCCTGCAGACAAATAATCCTTAAAGTAGCTAAGTCTCTAACTCAGTATCATCCAGAAATTACAATAAAAACAGAAACGATTGAATGTAAATCAATTTATATACATTCATATTACATTATTGTATGCGTTGCGACCCATTTGTGTCAATTTCTAGGTCCCAAATATTAGCGACTTAGCTCCTTTACGTACTGGTCCATAATACTACTTATATTCTAATTCTAACCTACATGTACAACACAGTGCATTCATAGTGACATTTTTACCATGGGAAGCATGAAAGATATCAAATATAACACTCCTTTTCCTGATGTGTGATTGGGTATCTGTCATGCACATTGTAAGCATATATGTGCAAATTAGAAGGCTTGAAATAATTAGCTGTCTGATTAGCTTTTTATTAATTACCGTACCGGTATTGCAAAAGCCTTCTTTTACCTCTGTATCAGATGAATGACCTATATAAGTTGAAGTATGCCTTCTACATTTACATGTACATGTGACCTAACATCATACAGGGTCAATCATTGGCTTGATGGTGCATGCGCTGTTTACATAAGACGTCATAGCATAAACAGATCAGGGCAGAATATGGTGCCTTTTACTCATTTTATATACCCATTTACTCTAAATCGGAAATATTTCTTATCCAGATATACTTCCCAAACACCTTTATTAACTTTTCTAATACTTAACCAGCGGCTGCCAGGCAGAATACGCCCACATTTTGCAAGAGATGGATAGAGAACAAGCTAAAAAAAACCACCAGGATTTTTTGTACAATCAGGGGCAATAATCCAGAAAGTTATGGTCTGAAATGCACAAATTTCAAAATGGACTGAGACCTTTGGGATATAAAGATATGTTTTAAGTTTCATCAAAATCGGATAAAAATTGTGACCTCTAGAGGGTCCACAACCTTTGTATTGCATACTTTTACACAATTTGCGTACAAAGAGAGGACATTTTGTCGGGCAGTTTCATTTCGATTTTCCCGAAATTCGACTTCAACATTCATTATGGTGGAATGGTGATATATTTCAAAATCCAAACTAAATCAAAATTACGGTGCAACGGTGATATATTCGAACGTTTTTCTAAATCAGATAACAATTGTGACCTCTAAAGGGATCACAAGCTAAAAACGTAATTCAGGAAGGGGCCATAATTCAGGAAGTTATGATCCGATACGCGCGAATATCAAAAGGAACCAATATCTTTGGGTTATAAAAATTGTGACCTCTAGAGGGTCCACAACTTTGATATACCAGATGTTATACACTATTTGCGTACGAGGGGGCGGCCATTTTGTCCGACAGTTTTAGTCTGATTTTCATGAAATTAGAATTAGAAATTACGGTGTAACGGTGATATATTTGAAGGTTTTTATAAATCGGATAATAATTGTGATCTCTAGAGGAACCTGAAGCTAAAAACGTGATTTTCGTACAATCAAGGGCCATAATTCAGGAAGTTACGATCCGATATGCGTGAATATCGAAAGGAACCAAGATCTTTGGGTTATAAGCTTACATACATTTTAAGTTTCATCAAAATCAGAAGAAAATTGTGGCCTCTTAAGAGGATCCACATCATTGATAATATACCATATTTTTACGCTATTTGAGTATGAGGGGCGGCCATTGCCATTATGTCTGTCAGTTTTGGTCCGATTTTTACGAAATTCGAACACAACGATCCTTAGGGTGTAACGGTGATATATTCAAACGTTTTTTTAAATCGGGTAAAAATTATGACCTCTATAGGGTTTACAAGCTAAAAACACGATTTTCCAGACAATCAGGGCTATAATTCAGGACGTTACGATTCGATATACGTGAATATCGAAAGGAGCAGAGATCTTTGGGTTATAAACTTACATTTCAAGTTTCAACAAAATCAGATAAAAATTGTGACCTCTATAGGGTCCAAAAGCTAAAAACGCGATTTTTCCTACAGTCAGGGGCCATAATCCATGAAGTTACGTTCCGATACATGCCAATATCGAAAGGAATCAATATCTTAGGGAGATAAACCTATATTTCAAGTTTCGTTGAAATTGGATAAGAATTGTGAACTGTAGAGTGTCCACAAACAATTGTGGATGTCCGGGCAGACGACAATTTAATATACGTCCACATGAAAATGTGGGCATATAAAAAATGTTCTAGAATGTAATTTGCAGAAGGAAATATGGCAAGTTAATTTAGTATTAAACCCACACCGATGTCATCCCTCTCTGATTGTAATTTGAACATGTCAGGTGCAAATTCTGTTAAATCAAATTATTTTCTCAACAAAATCCAAACTTGCTTGTTATGACTCATTAAAATTTGGCACATATCCATCAAATAATTTTATTATTTTTATTGACGATCCAAGATTGATTTGATACAAATATCTAATCTAAATCTAATTTACTGCCAATCAATATTATAATTTATATGTCATGTTCGTAACAATTTAATAACAATAATGCCAATCAGTGACCAATTATGTGTTTCTACCAAGAGGCTAGGTCGCTGTTCCAACACTATCCCATTCAAGACAGGTCTAAATGAAAGTCTTCCACATTTCCTGAATATTATTAAATACCGAACGGGCCGCCTAATGCCTCATTATATATCACCATTCCGTCCACTGTCAATGAAAATGAAAAAGAAATCATTTCTAGTGATGTACAGCATGAGCATGCCATTTCATGTCTTCGCCACGCTTAACACCTTAACTAACTTGTTCGTTTCGTGATTAAAAAGCATATTTGGTGACTATAATAGTAAGCTCATTTAGCAAATAAATATGATTTCCTATATAATTATCGTCTACATACTTACCAATCTTGAAAGCGGTATTGATTTCACGCTGCTGTCAAATAATTATTCCTTTGCGACACAGGAGCTCTGTAGCTTTTCTAACTCCACTTCGAAACTCTTCAATTATCAATTTTTAATGACACAGGCGACTTGAAATAGTCCAGGTCAGGAGTTCGTTAAGAGACCTGCAAATGCAAGAGTTTCTCATTCTGTGAGAGGGAAGAAAGGAATGACATTTTGCTTGGAAGGCTAATGATTTTGGTTCTTGAAGCTTGAAGCAGTGTAGGTTTATTAATCATGAATATGTGGTTAATATTTTGACACTGTTATAAAATTAGTATTGATTTGTACATGTATGTGGTTGAAATCAATGACTAGACTAGTAGTAGGGTGACCCATGTACTCACAGAAATACAGTCCACCGCTGATAGTTCGAGACTACCACTGAAGCGTGCACATTCGCCGTGCCGAGACCAACTTTCTGACAGTATGATACTATAAATAGCCATGGCACGTGCAATTCTCTACAAATCTATCAACTATTACAGCCGTAAAAAATTTATTGTTGACGATTTTGAATAGCAGTAAAATTAAGCTTCTTGGTTATTACAGCAGATTTAGAAATTACGTTCGTTTCATTTTTTTAAATCGCTTTATCATTAACTGTACCGTTAAGAGCGGCATCTTTTGGTTTAGTACAAATAATATCTCTGAATCACTCGGATTAGACAGGAACATGATACTAGCAGTAGTTTCATTTTACTTTTACAAGCTTCTTAAAACGATTGTTGAGCTACCTAACGTGCTTATTTCTAAATTCAATTTCTTGTTCTAGCTTTCTGTTATGTTTCGTAAAAAAGGAGTCTTGATTATCCCGACCTGTCAATCAGGGCACGTAACCTATCTTTTACTCAAAAGTGTCTGGATGTTATGGACGACTCTTGGGATCAGTTTTCAGTCTATTATTTATACATGATTAATGGTCATAGCTTATTAAGTACAACATGATCGTTTATTCAGTGACTATAATTGTGTGAAACTGATTTGAGGCTTGGCATATATATAAATATTGTGGCGTAATTGTCGAGATATATGGAGATATTTATTTATGGTGGGTCACCCTACTAGTAGTAGACAACCCAGCGTGTTGTGTTTACATTCGTGAGCCATAAATATTAATAATCAACTTTCGATTTCTGAATAGTAGTAAATTAATATGCCGCGCCGGTCGCTACCGGGAATATCTATTTATCTGTTTTAAGGATAGGGGGCCTATATGTTCCATGAACACTATTGGGTCATGGGTCAGATTTACATGTCATTTCGGCCCGCATCATTTCGAAGTCACGACATTTTGTACTCAAAAAAATATGGCCTCGACATTTCGGACTCGGGTAGGTGACGTTTCGGACTCAGGAATAAGTTGAATGGAAAGGTTGAACACAACTGTCAAATCAATCTATGATAAGCCAAAAATGATTTTATAAAAAATAACATACAGGTAAAATTTACCGCTCGCAATGAAGTACAGCATGTGGAATCGTGGATCACGCACCGTATAGATCTCTCAAGGAACTGCAAAATTTTCAATGTTGAATGTTTATGAAAAGAATGAACAAATTTTATTTCTTTATATCTGTAATATGTATATAAAAAGTAGCTGATGAATTTATTAGAATTCAAAACACGAAAGAAAATATTAACATGAAACTCGTGGTTAATAATAATAATCATTTTCTATAGCGCTGAACATTCAGTTACTCTGACTGCCCGTGGCGCTTTACAATGTAGATATGATTATAAAAAACATAGGCCTACATGTATATACAAATAAACAAAAGAATACAACGAAATAGTCAAGTTACAATATACAAATGGAAAGTGAAGCTAGGGTTCAAACGTTTAGGTAAAAAACAGGGTTTTTAGATGTCATTTAATAGCCAAGATTGGACTATTTGGACTTCCAGAGGCAATTTGTTCCATTCTTTTGGTGCTGCGTAAGCAAAAGCTCTCTCACCAAATTTTGACTTCTGTAGTGGACATACAAGTTGGTTTTTATGAGATGAACGTAAGGAACGAGAAGGTACATATTGTTTAAACAAATCGGATAAATAGGATGGTGCCAATTCTGGATTTTCAAGCTCTTTTGGAAGAGAATACAATAATGAATTAGAATAATCTAAAGATGACATAACAAAAATATTTATTAACATTTTAGTGGCATCAAGGTCAATATAGGGTCAAATTTTGCCAATGTTATACAGGTGAAAGTTCGCCTTTTTACACAACCTGGATACATGGGTTTTCATATCGAAGGACGAGTCAAAGAACACACCAAGATTCCGGTATCTGGTGAAGGATCAAGTTCAACATATAACTGGATATCATCGGCATTGAGGTGGTAATTAAGACCCATCTCACTTATGATATCACCATTTGGTGCAATGTATGCTGGGAACACCACAATCAAGAACTTTAGGCATTGATTGAGATGCATCAATAACAATACTCTGCTGTCTTCCACTCCGATAGGACTCAAACCACTTCAGTGCGTCTCCGGATATACCATATCGAGTTTCAAGCCTCCCGAGTAGGATTTATTGATCTATCAGATCAAATGCCGCACTCCAGTCCAACAAAACTAGCGACACACGTAAAAGACATTTAGGCTTTCACAATTATAAAAACATTAGCAGTATTACTAAATATACACAATTTTCAACAATATTTTATTGTCAAGTTCAATACTTGCTGATGAAACAAAACAAAATAGAACAAGCAGTGTTTTCTTTTTATTAGCGATCTCAAGAATCGTCGATCAATTAAATGAAACAAAACAACTATCGGCCTCACATAAAAAACGAAAAAAAACCCCAGCTGTTACAAATATATCACACAAATTTTCAACAGTCATTTTATTATTCAACCGAGTCCAAAACGTCACCAGACCAAGTCCGAAAAGTCGTCAAGTAAGTCTGATCCGTCGCTAAACTGAGTTCACATCACCTTTGAGATGTGATACATATATATATAGGTGCGTAAAGGTTTCCCATAGGAGGAATTATCTCTGACTATATACATGTAAGTTTTTTCGTTAACAAACACATTTCAGTTGGTGGCTATGCATTTATAATTAGTGACTGAGTTAATTATGAAGGATAATTTCCCCCTTTATTTTATGACTTAAAGGAGCTAAATCGCTAATATTTGGGACCTAGAAATTGACCCAAATGGGTCGCAACGCATATAATAATGTAATCTGATTGTATATAAACTGATTTACATTCAATTGTTTCCGTTTTGACTCTAATTTCAAATCAGTTATGTCCAGCGAAATAAGGCATGTGTCTCAACCCTATAGCAATTTCTAGCGTCTGGTTATTCCAGTCTATTCAGCAGGCTCTCCAGTTGAATATGTCTAGCCTCGTTCTGTTTGGTCACTTGTCGCAAATGACGCTAAAACGCACTATGGTACACGATTCGTGTACCAATGGTAAAATATTTATTTTGTCTTAAATATTAGATATCAGAAGCCTGCCTTTTCCTGGTAAGATCAAATTTCAACGTGTAAGACTTTGGATGATATTGAGTTAGAGACTTAGCTACTTTAAGTTTAATCAGAATTTTCTTTTATAATTTCAGGTTAAGAAACGTGTAAAGTAAAGTTGTAACATATACAGAGAGAGGAGGCCTAGTCTGCTGATACCTAAAGCATAATTTGATTGGGGGGGATGAACATAATTTACAACTGTTTTAAGATATTAGAGAAGGAATAACTTGAAATTATTTACATCACTATGGATGGAGATCAGAAGGTTACTGTATGTCTCGGTTGTTATTTTTATAAACGATATACTAATTGGAAACATGCTGATCAAGCTTATGTAAAACCCTGTTGCTATTCCTGAACTCATTTCCTGATAATTATATGGTGGAACATTAAAGATGCATTATGTAAGCGCTAAATCTCCCTATTGCTGGTCTTTATTTTGGCTTCAAATGTTATATAAACTGTTACTATTTATTAACATGACAAGTCAGTAATCAACTCTCTAGACCACAGGATGGCAGAGATTGAAATGGATTAGCACACCCGCAAGTTTTAAAGATATTAACGATAAAGTGGATAATTAAGTTTGTCCAGTACCGTTGCTATGAAAATAAACAGTCTATGCTACATCTTCCAACACTCCTAACTTTGCTCAGAATAATGTAATTTGAATGAAATTTTCAATATATTCATTTTTCATTATCTATTTTTCAACTAGTATATCAAGAATGTCGAGCTCTTTATCTAAATCTTACATAATGCATATTTAACTGTAAGCTCTACTACATTGACTCAAATATCATAAATATAATGTTGTGTTGATGTCAAATTTAGACAGAACAACTGTAGAAGAAAAACAAGGACAGAACGAATGGCAGAATTAGGTATTCAATCCGAGAGCAGATACAGAATTAGACCCAAAAAATAACCAAAAGAATTAATTTGAACAAAAACATCAAAGGTCCGTGGTGTGATGGGGGTGTTGTAGTTGCTCCTAAATGTTGGAATGGTTTACCTCTGACCACATTCAAATGACAGCTGATATGAGAATTGGACTTTCCACTCACTGTGTATATAGATATTTTCTCATGCACTTTGAGCATACTTTTGGATGGATTTGGCACTCCACAAATGTACATGTTGTGTTGAAATACCATTATACACAATTTTATTTTCGATGGTTTTATTTTTCAGGAAACAAAAGAATGTATTAAAAATGATAGAAAACAACATATGGAAGAGGAAAGATGTCTAGGAGGTCCAAGATTTTGCCCTCCCCTTTACATACAAAGATATGGCTTTGTTAGAAAGATTCTTGATCAGCACAAAATCAAAAGTGTAAGTTTCCAAATTGTTTGAACCGTAATCAGAAATACAGGTCATCCTAACCATTGATCAAAAACAAAATGGAGCAATAGTATATGCATCTTCCAAGTGGAGAAACAAATCCCCAACTAGGAAGACAACTCCTCTTGGGTTAACATTAGAATCCTAGGGGATACCCGATTGAATGTTACGGAATAGAATTCTTTCGATAAAATAAATAGTGACAATAAAATGAAAAGGGAAATTTTGGGCTAAAACGCTTGCGCCAACTGCATAAGAAAATATCTCAACCAACCATTACAGATGAAACATCTTTGTTGTGTTTAATTTCATCTCGATTCTACTCACACTACCTCTGTTGTTGAGACTGACAGAACTGTGACAGGACTGATTTCCACTTCACTCGATTGCAATTCTGTCAGTTGGGGATGTTAAAGACTGACAATCGAGCATCCACCAAGTATTCAGTTGTCCCACCTCCCATGTATCAAGCTTCAGTAAAATAAATTAACATAATAAATTTCTTGTAGCTTAAGTAAAATAAATTAACATAATAAATTTATTCTTGTAGGTGGTAGACTTTGGCTGTGCAGAATGTAAAATTCTAACGCTGATGAAAGCGGTTGAAAGTCTAGAGACTATATCATTGGTTGATATCAATGAAAACTTGTTGAGAAGTTGTCAGAATGTTATTCGACCCAAACTTGATGAATTTCTTCATCGTCGTAGCAACCCACTTCGTATACAACTGTTAGCAGGAAGTGCAGCCATGTTGGATGGGAGATTGATTGATGTGGAAGCTGTCACACTAATTGAAATGTAAGGATTAAGTTTACAGATGCAAATATATAAACACTACATGTACATATGGTATAGAAATAATTTCGAATTTTACACATTTTAAAACCATTTTGGCTGAATTGGTTTATCTCCTTAAAATAATTTCTGATATGGGGCGGATGGAGCAGAAAATAGGACGTTAAACCCCATTTATTTCATTTTCTGATTTAGTGCTGGCACGATATATCGTTGAATCGATGTATCGCGATTCACCGTCTCATGATACCTGTATTGAATCGCGGGATGCCGAATCGATTTTTCACAATTCTTTTTTGCGTTTTCTCAAATATATTATGAACTTTAAAAACTTTAAATTATACCCTAAACTTTATTTAAAACAATGACACTCCGCAAACGATGTCCAGTAGTCTTGACATGTGTGTTACTATAAATAGCGCACAACCATAATTACCGTTAGTTTCGTAGGTTTTGATTAACAACATTTTAACGCCTTTTCCTTTTGTTTCTGAATTTTAAAGTTTGTTATAAGGCTTAGTTAATAAAACATACATATTTAAATACATAAAACTACATTTTACTCTAGAATTTTATAAATTTAGAACTTAAATATAATAGATAGTAGCTCTTGTAAAAATCAAAATGGCGGAAAACACAGTCGCAATAACAAATCCTCCAGCGAAATATAAATCTAAAGTTTGGGAAAACTTTGGGTTTTTAAAAGGTGACACAACGAAAGTTGTTTGTAGAATATGCAAAACTATTCTAAAATATTGTTGTAATACAACCAATCTCAGCACTCACTTGACAAGACACCATAGTGTCGACTGGCTAAGATCATCTGCTAAGATTAAGAAGACAGCCAGTTCAACCTGCGGTGAAGTTCGAGCTTCATTAAAAACACAATCATATATTTAATTTGTTGTTTTATTGATAAATCTATGACCTAGTTATGAATCGCGATACGTATCGTATCGTGGCACATAAATCGCAATACGTATCGTATCGTGACTGCAGTCGCAATACCCAGCACTATTCTGATTAGGGAATAACAGCAATGCTATCGGAATTTAATTTGCCTAAATCGAAATTCAGACAAATTGCCCGGTTAAATGTAGGACATTTATCACATCAATCAGATAGTCCGCCAGATATCTAGGAAATGGGGGGGTTGGATGGCTGAATAGTTAGCGTGCGCGCGCTGTATCATAAAGTCTGTCATTGAGTCGACTGGCGTGGTTTCGAATCCCTGGTTGTACGTGACAAGGAGTAGGGGGCGCCTGTCCAACCTCGTGGGTTTCTCCGGGTCCTCCGGTTTCCTCCCACTGCTAAAGATCCCTATGCGCAAGCGAATTATTGAAATAAAATTAAACCATATGTTAGTCCCAAAATGACCTAGTTTGTGTCGAGTGGACGTTAAACCCTATTTCTCTCTCTCTCTTTCTAGGAAATGGCTAATAATGTGTGAATCATCTAATCCATCAGAAACTTGAGTGAATAGTAATGGTTTTGAATTCTGCTGATATCTTATGTTTTAAAGATGGGAAGGTCATTATTGCTTCTAGATAATGTGAACTCTTTACAGACCACATTGCATAGTTATTGTCCTTGTTCACAGTTGAAGAAGCCTATCAAATTTCATCTGTTCTGTTATTCTGTTGGGAATGCCAAATTAAAACAAAACAACTATTTTTTATGATGCCTTTTACCAATTTTTGCGATTCATTTGTTTGTTTTTCAGAATTGAACATTTAACAGATGATGTTCTAGAGGGAGTTACAGTTAACATATTTCAAAATATTCATCCACTGTTAATTATTGTGACAACACCAAATTCAGACTTTAATGTTTTATTTCCTGGTTTTGAAGGGTTTCGCCATTGGGATCATAAATTTGAATGGTCAAGATGTCAGTTTGAAACATGGTAAGTAGTAAATGGCATTATAATTTATTATTCTAACACTAAATCTGGAGTAATTGCCACTTCTTTTAAAATGAAAACAAACTTGCAACAAGAAAAAAACCCAACTAAACTATGTTATTCTTCAAACATTCATATCTTTGCTAAGAATAAAGTGATTTTTATTGAATAATGCATCTTGAATGAAAAGCCTGCCAAAGTCAAGGAATAATAATTAAATCAAATGTTTTGAATAACAGATCAGCCATTTTCATTGTGACATATCATGAATTTGTTTAACAACAATCTAGATAAAAAAAAAAAATAATTTTAGACATGTACTGTGTACCTTATTTTTGTCCATGACGTTCTGGTGCTGTGTGTGTTCTGTTACTTTTTATTGGCAAAACTTCTTATACATATGGCATTGGCATTGATTAAACTACATCAGGGCTCTCGTTTCAACAATATTTACCATCAGTCTTTACTCACTGGTAGGAGTCACGGTGGCTCAGTGACTAGGATGTTGGCTAGCTATCCTTGAGGTCTCGTGTTTGATCCCGGCATTGGCCAAGAAAGTTCATCAGGATTTTGCGGCATGGTTCCCCTTGTGAGTGATGTACATGTAGGATTGAGGGCCTGGCAAGGGACAATGTCAGGCGCAGATTTTGAGGGCTGGGGAAGCGACTGAGACCAAGTAAGCACCCCTATGAGACAAAGTCCCCTTTGACCCAGTCCCAAATTACATATCTATTATAAAAGACTAGATTGAGTTTAAGTAAATACACAATCAAAAGTACTCTTGTTTAATAAAGACAGATCGGTCACACAACTGTTTAGATCATTCAGCTCCAAAGTATTTGGTGGCGCAAAAAAACTCAGTTGCATAAATTTTATATGTAGCTGTCTGAATTTTTTTGCACCTACAGCGCTCGATTCCATTATATCATCATTCTGCTACCCCCAGACCCTCCCCCCTTCAGGTTGCTCAGTGTTATATAGTCACTTCTCTCTACTAAGGTTGACAAATATAAATAACATTCATAATATGACATGAACTTTATGTCAACTTGAATAAAACTGTCTATGAGTGAGGTGATGATTGGCGAACAACTATATAGGCAATACAATCTATGTTCTACCGGGGTGCTCAGACAGTGTTATAGCCAGTATTTTATTGACATTTATTAGGGGTGCGATTTGGAACTGACCCCCCCACCCCCCACATTCACAGCTTCTACCGGTAATGGACAAGTTACCAGTCAGTTAATTTAAATACCATAAAATTAGATAATTGAAAGATATTAACCTTAAAACACAATGCTGTCTTCATTAGCCCAGTATAGGAGCAGAACAGTAGGACGTTAAACCCCATTGCATTTCATTTCATTTTTAAAACACAATGGATTCAGTTTCATTGATAGTTTTTAAGTGTAAATCAAAGTCAAAAATATATGAAAATATTGGCATAATGCTAAACATTGTCATTTTCTCAATTCTCATTCAGATTTTTCGGCATGGTTTCCCCCTTGTCAGTGATGCTGGAAGGAGGGCCTGACAAGGACAGCTGTCTAGTCATTCGGATGGGACAAAAAAAAAACACGGTCCGGTGTACACATAGGCATGCACGTAAAAGATCCCTTGACAGTTGGAATTCGATATAAGGGTAGGCCGTAGTGCCACTGTCTGGGCAAAATTGACCTCATAGCACACTGTATGGTGTATGCCCGTCTTCATTAGCCCAGTTCGGAGCAGAACAGTAGGACGGTAAACCCCATTTCATTTCATTTTATTTCTATGCAAAAATATTTTGCTGATTTGAGGTAAACTAATGACTGGCATAATTTTTAAGTGAACCATGTTACTGCATGTATATACATGCATTTTTTTTTGAAAAACAAATGGTTACAGAAGTTAAAAGCATGATTTTTTTTATTTCATTTTTTTTTTATAGGTGTAATGAAATATGCAAGAAGTATGGTTACAAAGTTGATATTACTGGAATTGGAGATCCTCCGGATGATTTCCATTCTGTTGGTTATTGTTCACAGGTCGCCATCTTTACTGTTGCTTTGACAACACCTTCAGAAAAAAAACAGAAATCTTTACAACTTTGTTATAAAATGGTAATTGGAAGTTTTTTTGCTTATTCTTGTCTAGTTTGTCATAGTTTTCATTGAAAAGGCAACCCTGTAAACAACCAAAACAATGGATGTTATATGGTATGCCATAAACTCGATGTTTGAATCAATCTAATAACCAAAGATTTATTAGATTTTGAATGAATATTCATTCTAATCTTTGGAAGTAATTAATTCTAAAATTATGATTTCAATTTTATAAGATTTCAGAAATCGACTACCCATATAAAGAGAAGAAATTAACTGTTGAAGAGGAACTGGATATTGAAGTCAAGTATTATGTCAGACAACAGTGTTTACAAGCCTTGAAGGACCAGGCTGAAGATTCTATAGTTATATCTGCTGATGAATTATTAAAGATTAAAAAAGTTGGAACCCTGTTTAGCCCAAATCAAATAAGGTACCTTAAATTTGAGTATTTGTCATACATGTAAGGGGAAAATATACATTGTGAATTATGATCTACCTTCACTTACCATATCTCTCTAATATTTTACACACCTTCTACAGGATAGACCCAAATTTTGTGAAGCATTGCCTTTATTGCCTAGGACAGAGGTGGGCACCCCAATTATGACACAAAAAACCACCTTATAAAAAATTTCCAATATGTCTTGCTATTAGTTGAACAATACCTGGGTTTGTTATACGCCCACATTTTCATGTGGATGTATATTGTCGTCGGTCCGGACGTCCACAATTTGTTTGTGCACACTCTACACAAGGGCGTACATAAAGATTTTGTTTGGGGGGGGGGGGGTAGCAAAAATGCGACTGACTGATGCACATGTCCGTAATACTAGTGACGCAGTCAGGGGCCGAGCACCACAGATGATAGTTTTCTAGGGGCCAGTAGCTGATCTGAAAGCTGGGAATAGGGGGTGCGGGTGGGGCGGTTCCAAATCTAGGGCGCGATCCACAATTACACTCCACAATGAATGTCAACAAAATACTGGCTATAACACAAGGGCGTCCCGGTAGAACATAGATGGAATTGGCTTTATAGTTGTTCACCGATCGTTACCTTTTCGGAAAGCAGTTTTATTCCAGTTGATATAAAGTTTATGTCATTTAATATGATGACACGAACAAAATTTAGATATGTAACTGAGCTTTTAATTTTTTGGGACTGGGCCTGAGGGGACTTTGTCTCACGGGGGGCGCTTACTTGGTCTCTGAAATGCCATTTACTGGACTTTGGGGTATGGGGAAAGATTTTGCAGAATTCTGATGGTCAGAAAATACAACATGAGTAAAATACGTTTTAATTTCTACTGCGATTAAATATGGAACAAGTAAAATTTCTTAAGTTCAATAGATCGCCTTAACATTTCATAATTTTAAGATTTTTTTACGTATTTCTGAAACAAACTATGCTTCCGATAACTTTTTACCAACTGTTCGACTAATGTTATTCGTATGACAATCAATAATATAATGTAAGTTATCAAAATCTTCGTAACAAGCTCTCTCAATTTCTTAGACCAACATAACAGGAATTTTTTTTTTTCAAACATGACAAGTTGTCTAGGTTATTTTAGGTGCACGGATTCACAAAAAAATTTTCTCTTTTATTTTGTCATTGTTTACCTCATTAATTCATTTATTCTGAGACCGACTGCAGTGAGCACTTACTTTGAGACCGACTATGTGACGTAAGAAATTTAGGTGCACTTGTATTTATTTTAAGTATTTGAGATTTTTCCCTTCTATTCTGGCATTGTTTGTTTACCACATTAATTCATATCGTCAGTCGCCGATGCATAATTTTGAGACCGACTGCAGTGACTGCACTTATTTTGAGACCGACTATTTTTCTCCCTGGGTGGAATTTTTTTCTTAGACCAACGCACAACAGAATAAAAAACATTTTTTTCAAACATGATAAGTTGACAGATTATTTTATACTAAAGTTTTAGGTGAGTAGCGTGACGTATGCAATTTAGGTGCACGGATTCACGCAAATACATAAAATTTGAAATTTTTCCTTCTATTTTGGCATTGTTTGTCACATTTAGGCCCCGTACTCTACCGGTCACAATTTCTATCCAATTTTGATGAAACTTGAAATATAGGTCTATCCCCCAAAGATCTTGGTTCCTTTTGATATTGGCATGTATTGGACCATAACTGTATCATCAGGCCTGTCATTGAGTCAACTGCCGTGGTTTCGAATCCCCAGTTGTACGTGACAAGGAGTAGGGTTGCCTGTCCAACCTCGTGGGTTTTCTCCGGGTCCTCCAGTTTCCTCTCACTGCTAAAGACCCCTATGCGCAAGCGAATTATTGAAATGAAATTAAACATGTTAGTCCAGAAATGACCTAGTTTGTGTCGAGTGGACATTAAACCCCATCTCTCTCTCTCTCTCTCTCTCTCTCTCTCTCTCTCTCTCGTATTTCGTGAAAATCGAAATGGAACTGCCCGACATAATAGCCGCTCTTTGTACACAAATTTTGTATAAATATGTAATACAAAGGTTATGGACCCTCTAAAGGTAACAATTTTTATTCGATTTTGATGAAACTTAAAACATATCTTTATACTCCAAAAACCTGAGTCCCCTTTCATATTTGTGCATTTCATACCATAACTTTCTGAATTATGGCCCCTGATTGTACAAAAAATCGTTTTTGTTTTAAGCTTGTTCTCTATTCATCTCTTGCAAAATGTGGGAATATCCTGCCTGGCAGCCGCTGGTTGGTAATTCGGAGTATAAGGTTATTTTAAAAATTTTAATTTTTTTTTTGGGTGAGAGTGGTGTGCCTTTTAAGTTGTATAAACATTTGTTTTTATGGCCATCAGCTCTGTGCACAACAAGATATTTTATTCTTTAAGATGAGAGGTTATAAATAGATATTTTTCTGTTACAGAGATTATTTAGAAAGGAATTATAATTTGACAGAGAATGCATGTAATATAACAGTTGACTTAAAACAGTTCATCTGTGTTGATGATGATGATGATGATAATGATTTTGATGATGAAGTGAATGCTGATGTAGAAGGTATCTGTGAACAAGAAGAAGATGACTGGGATTAATCTTTTGTTAAAGACAGATGTAGCATTATCAGAGACTACCTCACTCATCAGATTACCTTTTCTATGAAATGTCATCACTAGACGGCTGGTCTCCTGTCTGTTCATAACGTTATTAGGGTTTCACACTGCGTAGCTTGTGTGAAACACTATTGTTTTTGTTAAAATTATTCTTATTATTATTAGGGTTTCACAGGTAGCCAGTGTGAAACACTATTGTTTTTGTTAAGATTATTATTCTTCTGATTATTATTTTTTTTTTTTTCCACTTGAGCATATCTCAGAAACTATTTGTCGGATCAACTCAATGTCTTCGGTTATACTGAGAAAGTGTGTGTGACTTAGAGATTAAAGCTATTTCGAACTTTCTGTGACAATGCGAAATGTCCGAAATCACCGAAGTTGTTGTTTTTTGAAATATTGCCGTAATATTAACAATAATTGTCGGATTTTAACATTTGATACATTTTGACATAGCCCGAGACATAGCTACGATTGTTTAGATTTTTGATTTTCGATTAATCTTCGAAGATATTAGGTGCCAAATTTTGAAAATTTAAATTTTGACAAAAAACTTTTTTATTTATTAATATTTTTTTATGGCACTCTACCTATAATTAAAGGGTCATGTAATTTGAGCAAAAATATGAAAAAATTTTGTATCGATAATTCACCTTGGCCGCTATTGGCTAATTCAGTTAATGGGTTCTAGGTTAATTATTTATTGCTCGATTTGTATAAAACAAAGTTCATATGCTCAATGGTGCAAAGTCTCAACTTTTTTATTACCAATAAAGCTTTCTGTCAGCAGCGGAAATGACGTAATTTTGACCAAAACTACAATTTTGGCGGTTAGGTACGTCTTTTGGAAAGCAAATATTATTTTTTTAAAATAAGTAAAAAGAAAGAAGTTGCGCCATGTAAAGGGGCAAAAAATGTCGGAAGCCGTTTTTTTAATTTCGATTTCATTTTTGCGCCATTTCGGTTTAAAGGTAAAAAACAATGTAAAATTGAGCTATTTACAACCCATTCAGGCATTTCATATTTTAAAATATTTCTTTTTGACTTTCATAAACTTGTAGCATTAATTCATACGAAGAGAATCTATCTCAAAATTAGTTTGTAATATGAGCAGTTGCCGAGAAATGGTCAATTTTGCAAGTGTCACTTTTTACGCTATTTTGCCTGTAAAAGAGTCAATTATTATTGGATTATCATAAAAGTGATACCATTTGATGCGTAATGTCAATTCAATATCATCGGAAATGACGTAATTTGGGCAAAAACTATATTTATAGCTTTCGAAACAAATAATTTATTCAGGTGAGTCGTATTTGTTATTTATTTAAAATTTGGATATTTGATTCCAATCAACTAATAGAATGAACCCATGGGATCATATAGATATCATAAAATGGTTTCTAACTTGTTCAGTTGCGGAGAAATAGGCGATTTTCAACAGGTCACTTTTCAAGGTTTTTGGTCCATAAAAGTGTCAATTATTATTCGATTTTCATAAAAAATTTCACTGTGTGATACCTAATGCCATTTACGATTTCATACAAGTAATTTAAGAATTTCATTATCACCGGAAGTAACGTCATTTTGGCAAAAACTGTATTTTTAGCCTTCAAAACAGATATTTTATTCAAATGAGTCTGAGTTGTTATGTTTTTAAAATTATGATATTTGATTCCAATCAACAAATAGAATGAACCCATACGATCATACAGATACCAGAAAATGGTTTCTAACTTGTACGGTTGCAGAGAAATAGACGATTTTCTACAAATCACTTTTTATGGTTTTCGGTCTATAAAAGTGGCAATTATTATTCGATTTACATAAAATTTTCACCATGTGATGCCTTATGCCATTTCTGATTTCATAAAACTAATTGAACATTTTCATTATCACCGGACGTACTGTACACTTACATGTAACAAATGTATAAAATGAATTGATATTGTTGGATTTGGTTGATTCGGCGTCCATTTTATTTGATGTGTGCAATGATTAGGTGGAAACCTGATTAATGGTTTCATTGGTACCGGAAGTGAAATATGTTTAGGGTAACGTGGCACCGGTGAAACCCGTCATGACTGCATCGCAGTTCTAGTTTCAATGGATTTTGTCTTTTTTGTTCAGTTTTCTCTTTTTTTTTCATAGACTGGATCAGGGCTTTCCATAATTCATTGACAAGCTGCAAGTGTCACCTTTCTGTAAGCTGATCTAATCAGGTGACCTACTGTGAAAAGAGACTAGTTGTATATTTTCTGTAGCAACAACTTGCAATTACTGCAGCTGGCCTACTGTTGGTCTTACAAATCTACTAACGGAATTATACTGAAAAGATCTGGATGGGAAAACCCCATCAATGCTCAAATGGTACTGTCCTTTATGTGGTTTTCTTTTGTCTGAAACCAAAGTAAACGGAAATAGTAGATCTAAGAACTGTATACAATCTAACACATGATTTACTGAATCAGACAACTAAACAAAGATAAAAAGAAGACACTGCAAGGAGCTGGACTACATGACCCTGTCAGTTTTGACAAGATGGGATGGTTGGCATAGGTGTACGAGCCCCCATAAAGTAGGGGAAAATTATATAAGCTAGTTGGCAAAATAAAGTGCCACAGGTCTAATAAAACACTAATTTTACTTTTCTGTTTATTGAATACCGCGAATTTGTACTAAATTGCCCATGGATTAAAACATTTTGTCTGAAGCCACTTTGCTTGGCCAAAATATATCAATGGTAACCTCTTCGGTTTTAATGGTGTCGTAAGAAGAGAGTATGTGTCAGACGTTGGATGTGGGGAGTTTTTGTTTAATTGTACTTTCCACATATAACCAGCAACTCATAGCACACATATCAAATTTTATTCATTTCCACTAAGAATGTTCAAAACTAATTATCATAATCAGATGGTAAAAACCTAAATGAATGTAAATAATAAACAAAGACACAAATATATGTTAGTAAAACAGTCAGCGATATTGAAATATAAATTGACATTGGAGCTCCTTAATTGTAACGGTGCTCGAATGGGGTTAGGTAGCTGTCGCAGGAAGAGCCAATCCAAATGATTACGAGCGCTGTTCTGTAGGTCTGGGCGTAGTAAGAGGTACAGGCGGCGAAACCATCGGACACTTTTCAGATTTTGAACCTGTTTTGTTTATACAGATGCGTCTCTACGTATCAGTGCAGACATTCCTTGGGTGCGGGAGGAGTTTGTAGGTAACGAAATAAAACGAAGTAGGGGTTTAGCGGCCTATTTTTCTTCACCAACCTGGAACAAAACGAAGACCGGCACATGCCATGCAATGTACTATGGGTGAAATTTTGCTAGGACATCGGCGTTTCCACCTACTCTTCATCGAATTTAAACTGTCAAGTGTTAGTTACGTCTACGCCAACGTATACACACGGACCTCGGTTTTTCGTCCCACCCAAATGATTAGACGCTGTTCTTTTATATGACCTCCCTCTGCACTTCTGACAAGAATAAACTAGGCCGAGGATAGTACACCGGACCACCTGCTTTGTCATCCTCATAGAGTATCACTTAGTGATAGAGTATCACTTAGTTATAGAGTGTCGCTTAGTGATAGAGTACTGGACCTTTACAACCTTTTTACAACATTGTTCTCTATACATGCTTAAATATTGACAACTCGTACTTTACGCTTTCGGAGCCCCTTGCAACGCTTCATAAGGAACCGAGTTCCATCTCCAGTTATCACTTTCATCAGAGGTACAGAAAGTCTATTTGGTTTATTTATCAGCTGGGGCGCCCAAAATGCCAGAATTTTATTGACTTAGAAGAATGCGATCTTTTCAAGGGGCATCGATAAGTAACTGCAATAGAATTGTTGAAAAAGTGAGAGAGAGACCCCCGGACAAAACCCACGAGGCTGGACGTGCGACACAACTCCTCGTCACATGCAAGTTGAGCATCGAAACCACGCCACTTGCTTCAGTGACAAGTCGCATGATCAAAAGCGCGCGCGGTACGACTACTCAACTACAAAATCAATCTTCTAATATCTCTGTAAAAGATGACTACCTTTAACGTCTCAAGATGACTACCTTTAACACGACGTGACGTCTCATCACGCGGCGTCAATCATTGGCTCAATGGCGCGTGCATTGTTTACATAAGATGTTCTAGTTTGGGCAGAATGGATACTTTTTACTCATTTTAATATCCATTTGCACTAAATAGGTACTATTTTTACCTACAAATACGTCAAACGCCTTTATTTATTTTTCTAATACATAAAAAACATGTTTTAGAATTTAAAATTTGTCGCAGGAAAAAAGTTAATATTTCTGGCTCATTAAATCGCATCGATGTCATCTTTATCAGTGATTGTAGCGGCCTAGCGAAAATTTATTGCTGGTCAATGTGCTACAAAATGTCAAATAATAAATCCAAACAAAGGTAAAGTACCTACGGCACCCAATGACCTGTTATGGCAACTGAACATCATTGGATCTAAAACAAACATTACATACATATACTGTAACTGTTTAAAGATCTGATAAAACGCACTGGTTAATACAAACTATTCGGTTTATCATGATGGGAAAATCAGCACTGCAATAAATTAGAATCAATTTTTTATCACTTGTAACAAGATAATGATACAGATAGCTTTTATTGTTCTTGGTGATCTATAAACACAGGACCATTAATGGCCAGTGCATTAATTTACTCATTTAAGTTGGACTGTGTCCGTCGTTTAAATACAATTATTTCTACATTTGAACTAAGCAAAACATTTTTAGTCGAATTCCTTCATGTAAGTTCTTAGTTCCTGTAAACATATCCCGACTATAATAAAAGGTCTAAATCAAACGTTTTACTAGTTATAGAAGGCCCGAAAAGGTGAAATAGCTCGAATATTGGCGTTTCTGTCTGCATTTACAGATGGAGTCAACCAAGATATCACCGCTAAGTCTTGCACGTTTAATTTATAGATTCCTTAAAAAGAAAGACAGTGGTTTGATATTAGAGAATATACGCAATATTTTGTTTATTATAGGGGCATTATGGAAGATTAAATAAAGAGATGACAGTCCTCGCTATAATGTTTAAAATCGTACCTATGAGATGGCATCGGGAGTTGTTTATGGTCTTGTCATGTTAATAAATGTCTAATTAATAGTTTATATAACATTTAAGGCCATAATGTATGTTTAATCTTATTGTAAATTACTATTATACTATTGCTCGCTGATGGCTGACAAGGAATGTGTGGTGGTTTCAATCGTTCGAATGGAACGGAAGACCAAGCCCCCCACCACCTTCAACGTAAGTAGTACACGGAAAGTATCTTTAAACAGTTGAAATTAGAATGTGGGTAGGCGAAAATGCTAATATCCGGGGGAAATATGTACTAAACCAAAAATATATAAAAAAAAAAATGATATTAGAAAAAAAAAAAGAAACATATTCCTTTCCATCTTATATATTGTGGGTAACTATTAGTAAAATTCACGATGTAACTTTAAGAGACCCTAACCCCCGTAAAAATGACTTTAAGCGCTGACCTATCGTTAAATTACTTTCTTCTCCATTTATTTTGACTAAACGGTCTTCAAGGACTTTGTGCTTATTAAAATTGTCCCTGTACCTTTAAGTGATAAATATCGCGACTCATTGTGTAGTACCGGTATATATGTATATTTGTTGTGTGAGACGGGATATTAGGAATTAGTCACGACACAGTGTTAGTTGGTTAACATATAGTTTTCACCAGACCAAGTGAAATTCTTGAGAAAACACCACCTAAAGAACTGTAATTCAAACACGTATGGGAGACTTGAAGTAGCCTATATTTTTGAAATAGCTTTCTGGTTTTCTTATTAGATCAAGTCTACAATCAGATCGGAATTATATACCATGGCGGAGTATTTGTTAATTAAAAGGAAGGGTTGAATTTTAGAGAACAGTCACCAGGCTACTAACAAATATTTCTCAATAAGCCGTATCTAAACTATAGATATTCTAAACAAGACATACATCACATGATCCGGATTATTGTGTGTTGAAGGTATAGTGACTTTTAAGTTAATTCAATTTTAAAATATCTAAAGAGAAAACCATGTCAAAACCATTCCAATGGCGTGATTCGTCCTGTCTTTACCGATTAGTCGAAAAACAATATCTCGAAGACTTGGCGCGGTATCACGAGAGAACTAACACTGTAAATGCCCACAAATTTGTGAACTACGCACCCAGAGAAGTTTTTCCAGATTTTCTCAAGAAAATCAACAATCACGTTGAGATCATAATGTTTTCAAGATATGGAGATTATTTCGACTCTAATCCGATAGCAAAAAAAGTGAAAATTCCTTATTTAAAAACAGGTGAGAAAAAAAGAGCAAGATTTGCTTCTCCTCCAAGAAAAGTCGATGTCATCAAGTCTGAAATGGACACCAAAAAGATAGAAGAGTCACCACAGACAAGTTCGGATGGAAATAAACCACATAAATCGGTACTAGTTCGTCCGAGAACTACACCACTTGTGCGTAGGGATAGTGTAGATTTTGCTAGGGCTTTACCTCCGCGTAGTAAGTCATGCCCTACCATAAGAGAGCAGCAAGTTTCTGTTGATGCGACTTTGAATCCGGAAGCGAC